TAAAATTTTATTAGAAATGGAAAAAAATCAAAAAACAACTCTCCAGTCCTTCCCCAGCCCTGGCAACCACCTCTACTTTCTGCCTCTATGAATTTGATTACTCTATGTCCCTCATTTAAGTGGAATTATGCAGGCTTTGTGTTTTTGTAACTGGCGTATTTCACCTAGTATAATGGTTTCAGGGTTCATCCCTGTTGTAGTGCGTCACAGGATTTCATTCCTTTTCGAGGCTGGAAACCCCCTCTTTGCATAGATGAGACTGTTGCTCAAAGTCCCACAGCTGGTTTGGTCTCCTGACTTAATTCCAGAGGTGTTGATAGAAAAATTGATCATGTTGAGTTCAGCCTCCACATTCTAACAAGTTCTTTTCATTATTTCCCTCCACTTGTGTTCCACTGTCTCATCCCTTGGCTTCTTTGGCCTCTGTGAAGCACAGAGTTTCAGGGGCCAGAGTGGATTTAAGTCTCTTGCTCTCCTTCCACAGATACTACGGTGGGACTGAGTTTATCGATGAGCTGGAGACACTGTGTCAAAAGCGAGCGCTGCAGGCCTATAATCTGGACCCCCAGTGCTGGGGAGTCAACGTCCAGCCCTACTCAGGTGATTGCCAAGTTGAGACTCCTTCATGCCTGTCTCCCTGGGCTGATGTGCACCAAGAGGAGTTCTAAGAAGGACTGCCCGTAAATAAAGATCAAGATAAGCCACGCCCTCCCGGGCACATGCATCCTTCCCCATTGCCCTGGGGCTCCCAGCTCTGTGCCCTCCCGGGCAGTGCCCAATTGTCTCTGAACTTCCCCTATACTTACTCTTGAGGGGACTGGAGCAAGGGCACCTCCTGGGACTCAGAGAAGGCACAAGGATGGCCAGGCCTGTTCTCTCCACTCCTGGGTGAACACCTAGTGGCCAAGTTCCCAGGTGCCGCTTGGTGCCTCAGGTAGAAATCATCATATCTCTTCTGATCTACCCGTTTCAGGCTCCCCTGCAAATTTTGCAGTGTACACTGCCCTGGTGGAACCCCATGGGCGCATCATGGGCCTGGACCTGCCTGATGGGGGCCACCTGACCCATGGGTTCATGACAGACAAGAAGAAAATCTCTGCCACATCCATCTTCTTTGAATCTATGCCCTATAAGGTAAGAGAGCGTCTCTCTCAATATAGCTGTCATTTCCTCAGAAAACCTCCCATGTTTGGCTGCGCCTGTAGGAATAAGTACAGTGGTTTTGTTCATGTGGCACTGTAGGAAGTCCCCACTTTGTACCATTTTTCATTTCCCTGCTCTGGGGACTCCTCAGGCTTTCAGGGCCTGCTGGGGGAATCCAGGCTAGAAATGAGCATCTGAGCTGAGGCTGCAGAGAGAGGAGGCAACTACTGGGGAGGGCTCAGACACAGCAAGGGTGGTGGCCACCCCAGATCCACGGGGGCAGCAACCACTGGGGAATAACAACTCCCAGCAGCAGGTCAGCCACAGCTGGACCCCCAGCAGCAGCGAGCCACCAACTCAGCAGCTCTGCCCTCACCTTGTGACATCACTGCTGGGAACCCCTGTGGGCCAGCAGCTGCAAGGACACAGTAGCTATAGGGGACAGCAACATCCCTGGCCCCAGCACCGGTATTTGCAGCCCCACCATGAACAGCCACAGACCTCCACAGCCGAGTTAGAGCCGGCTCCTGCATGTAGGTGGTGGCTATAATGGGCGCAGACAGTCCTTGACTTACAGTAGTTGGACTTACTATTTTTCCACTTTATGATGGTGCAAAAGCAATACACATTCAATAGAAACTGTATCTCGAGTCCCCGTACAGCCATTCTTTTTTTCACTTCCAGTACAGCATTCAGTAAGTTACATGAGATATTCAACACTTTATCATACAATGAGCTTTTGTGTTAGATAGATTTGCCCAACTACAGGCTAACGTAAGTATTTCAAACATGTTTAAGACAGGCCAGGCTAACCTATGATGCCCAGTAGGTTAGGTGTATTAAATGCATTTTCAACTTATGATGTTTTCGACTTAACGATATTTTCAGCTTGTGATGGGTTCGTTGGGAAGTAGTCCCATCATAGATCAAGAAGCATCTGTATGGCTCAACTCCTACACCTGATCACCACCCCACTGCCCAGACTTGTCCTCAGCCAGCTGAAGCCAGTAGAGCAGTGTGCCCAGGAGCGGAACCAGCACCATCAGAACCAGTGCCCAGGGCTGCCAGTAGGGTGTGCAGGGCCCCAAGAAAATATTTGTTTTGTGGGGGACCCTATGTGTATAAACAATTGGGTCAAAAAATGCGTGGGCTCATGTGAGGCATGGTGATTTATCTATACAGGTGAAGGATGATGGGCGGGAAAGAGGTAACTTGCTTATTCTTTTATTGTCCAGTGTTGTTGATTCTTCTGAATGTCCAGAAACCACCTTTTCATGTTCTTTGTTGTCATATGTGCCATTCCTGGTTAGCTTCATATTTGTTACCATGATAAAAAGGTAGTCGTGCATTTTTATGTTTGGCTAAACATCAGACACATTTTATTCTTTTAAGGAAATCAAGCCAGTATCCTTTCTGGCATTCTGTGGACTTTGTTGCGTATTGTCAATTCTGTGTTCACAGAGCCTTTGTCTCAATTATAGTGATTTCCGATGTGCTCTTTTGTGCAAGTGACTTTCATTTCTTCTCATGGAAGGCCTAGGTGTTTCTAGTCAGAGATCTCCTCATTGGCCAAGGCTGGCCTTGAAGATGGATTTTTTTTTTTTTTTTTTTTTTGAGACAGAGTCTCACTCTGTTGCCTAGGCTAGAGTGCCGTGGCGTCAGCCTAGCTCACAGCAACCTCAAACTCCTGGGCTCAAGCAATCCTCTGCCTCAGCCTCCCGAGTAGCTGGGACTACAGGCATGGGCCACCATGCCCAGCTAATTTTTTCTATATATTTTTTGTTGTCCAGCTGATTTCTTTCTACTGTTTTTTAGTAGAGATGGGGTCTCACTCTTGGTCTCGAACTCCTGAGCTCCAACGATCCACCCGCCTCGGCCTCCCAGAGTGCTAGGATTACAGGCATGAGCCACCGTGCCCGGCCGAAGATGGATTTTGAAACTTGGGACAGTAGTAACAAGATACTTTGTCTTTGGACTTAGAACATAAAAGCCAGTTTCTATGCTTTTTTCATCACAGACTGTGGCAAAGAGTGTTTTCTGACTAGCCTTAGCCGAGGCCTTGAGCAGCCTTATTCACGCTTTTCAGGCCAGTGTCCTCTATTCTTGAGGAGCCCGTTCCAGGCATTTGGCAGCTCAGTCCTGTGCCCGTTTCCCTCTGGCCACCCCCACCTTTGATGTGCACTGTGCAGGCCGCAGCCCTGTGGGCGCAGTGGGGGGTGGGGCCTGGGAACCTGGGCAGATTATGCAGCAGGAGGCACAGCTCACCCACTGCAGGGGTGCAGTGGGCACCACCCTCTGTGGGCAGGAGGAGGAGACAGACCTGATTGGCTGGATGAGCCATTCCTGGTTAGTTTCATATTAACCAGGCTGTGGGGGTGGTTAGGGAGCCTCCCAGGGCCACCCATCTCTGCCTTCAGCCCGTCATACCCACACAGAGCCAGGCATTCATTTCTCTGTGGAGCAACAGTGACACTGTTCTTCTATTTTGTATCCAGTCCGCCCTGCGTCCCTGCTCCCAGCTTGTCCTCTGTGACTAGAGAATTTCTCCCTCTCCCTGGTCCTAAGTGCCTGAGGGGGACTCCCTTCTTCTCTGCACTGCTCTGACCCCCTCCTCGCAGTTTGTTATAAATGCTTGTGAATTCTTCTAGGAATTGTTCTATTGTTCATTTTCAAGATTTAAAAAAACAAAAATTTTTAAAACCCCTACAAGTTAGGCCGGGCGCGGTGGCTCACGCCTGTAATCCTAGTTCTCTGGGAGGCCGAGGCAGGCGGATTGTTCGAGCTCAGGAGTTTGAAACCAGCCTGAGCAAGAGCGAGACCCCGTCTCTACTAAAAATAGAAAGAAATTAATTGGACAACTAAAAATATATATAAAAAAAAAAAATTAGCCGGGCATGGTGGCGCATGCCTGTAGTCCCAGCTACTCGGGAGGCTGAGGCAGGAGGATCACTTGAGCCCGGGAGTTTGAGGTTGCTGTGAGCTAGGATGACGCCACGGCACTCTAGCCCGGGCAAAACAGACTCTGTCTCAAAAAAAAAAAAAAATTGTTTTACATTTAATATTTAGATCTACCATCCATCTGGAATTGATGTCTTTCTTTTTTTAATTAATTTATTTTTTTGTTTGTTTTGTTTTTTGAGACAGGGTCTTGCTCTGTTGCACAGGCTAGAGTACAGTGGCATCATCATAGCTCACTGTAACCTCAAACTCCTGGGCTCAAGCGATCCTCCTGCCTCAGCCTCCCCAGTAGCTGGGCCTACAGGTGGATACCACCACACCAGGCTAATTTTTCTATTTTTAGTAGAGATGGGGTCTTGCTCTTGCTCAGGATGGTCTGGAACTCCTGACCTTAAGCGATCCCTCCCATCTCAGCCTCCCAAAGTGCTAGGATTACAGGTGTGAGCCACCACACCCAGGCTAATTTTATTTTTTGACAAATTATAATTATATATAATTATGGCATGTACAGTAATGTTATGATGCATGTATACTGTGTGGAATGATTGAATCAAGCTAATTAACATACTTTTTTCCTTAAATACTTAGCATTTATTCCTCCTAACTGCAACTCTGCTCTTTGCTCAGTATCTCCCCATTCCTACCTCCCACCCCCGGCCACCATTCATTTTCGCCTTCTGTGAGTTTGATTGTTTTAGATTCTACTTATAAGGAAGATCATGCAGTACTTGTCTTTCTGTGTGTGGCATATTTTACTTAGCATAATGCCTTCCAGGTTCACCCATGTTGTTGCAAATGACAGAATTTCTTCTTTTGTCAGGCTGAATAGTATTCCATTGTGTCTATATACCACATTTCCTTTATCCATTTATCCTTCGATGGACACTCAGGTTGTTTCCGTACCTTGGCTATTGTGAATAGTGCCACAATGAACATAGTAGCGCAGCTGTCTCTTTGACGGACTTTGAGTTCCTAGGCTGTGTGCCCAGAAGTGGGATTGGTGGGTCTGGAGTTGATCTCTGTGTGTGGTGTAAGGCGTCCAGATCACATTTTTGTCCATATGGATATCCAGTGGTTTGGTACCATTTATTGGAAAGGCCATCCTCTCCCCACAGCACTGCGGTGTCACCATTATCATCCATCCGATGACCTATATCATGAGGGTTCTGTTTATAGGCTCTCTCTGTTCCCTCAGTCAGGTTGTTTGCCCTTCCACAAATGCTTGGTGCCTTAATTACTGTAACTTTTCAAGTTTTTAAAAATTTCTCTTAATAATGTTTTGGTAGAGGTCTGGTACATCTTTCATTGGATATTTTATGGGTTTTGATATAATGATATTATTAAAATTTCATTTTCTTTTTTTTTTTTTTTGCTTATATACACATATATAATTGATTTTTGTTTTTCAATGCTGTATCCAGTGACCTTGCTGAATTCACTTAGTTCTAACAGTTTGCCTCTAGAGTCTTTTAGCTTTTCTAGGTATACAATCATGTTGTCTGTGAGTAATGTCAGTTTTTAAAATTTCTTCTTTCTTTATCCTTAGCCTTTTATTTCTTTTTTTTTTTTTTTTGCCTCATTATACTTGGTATTAGCAGGCATTTTTGTCTCGTCCCTGAAGGTAACGTGTTTTAGTTTGCGTTGTGTGGTGTCTGTTTGTTGCATCTATTTCATTCTGCAGGGGATTTTTGGTTCCTTCTCATGAAAGCGTATCGCCCCAGAGACAGGGTTCACTTTTCCCCCGGGACTCCTCATGGTCTCATGGGTCTTGAGCAGTACTTGGTCATCCATACCACTTGTGTAAGCTGAATACACTGGTAGCCTTTCTCACCCTCAAGTCCTCATCTGGGACATCTTTCCTCTTGTCATGGCGGGTGGAGCAAGCTCAAGTGGGAGGGCAGGAGGCACAGTTTGCTAGAGGAAGTAGCTTGAGCCATGACTCCCCGATATCCCGCAGGTGAACCCAGACACTGGCTACATCAACTATGACCAGCTGGAGGAGAACGCCCGCCTCTTCCACCCAAAGCTGATCATCGCAGGTGATGGGCGGGTGGAAAGTGACTTCGTGCATGAGCAGTGCCCTTGCCTCTTACAGAATGACATGTAAAGATGTTCTCACCCTGACATAGCTGACTGCTAGTTTCTGCCTTGGATAGCTGAGTTTCTTGGGTCAAAGTGGATTCTTTTCTTTCAGGACACTGGTCTGTTTGCCACCATTAGTGTTATGTGGAATAAGATCTAAGACAGTTCTCAGGGAAGCACAGAAATGTCAATCCCTGATTGGTTGGGTTGGTAATGATAGTGGGGGCCATCCCAACCACCATGATACTGAAGAGGCAGATCCAGAGAGGCTACCTTTAGCACAAAGATGTTTTTCTAGGACATTCTCCATTTCTAAGAGATTTTAGGGGGACAAATCTCTGGGCTTTCGCATGTGCATAGCCAGAGGCCACTTGGCAGATTTGCACTGAAGCCAACTCAGCTGGTCTGTCCACATTTCTGACTCGACTGTGTCACCTTTCCTATCTCAGGAACCAGCTGCTACTCCCGAAACCTGGACTACGCACGTTTGCGGAAGATTGCAGATGAGAATGGGGCGTATCTCATGGCGGACATGGCACACATCAGTGGGCTGGTGGCGGCTGGCGTGGTGCCCTCCCCTTTTGAACACTGCCACGTGGTGACCACCACAACCCACAAGACCTTGAGAGGCTGCCGAGCTGGCATGATCTACTACAGGAGAGGTTTGCTCCCGAGTGTTGGGTACAGACGGGAACCATGGTTTACATTTCTCCTGCAGAGGCTCAGATTCAGTTGAGGGAGCTGGGAACAACTCCGACTTGGGAGCTACTGAAAATATTAGGACCCCAGTGCCTTAGAGAGCTGCTTAGGAAGGAGCAATGGCAGGCTTTACAGAAAGGATATAGAAGAAAGCCCTGAGCCACAGCTCTTGCTTCATTCCTGTATGTCCAGGTCCTAGGAAGGCAGGAAGGGGATCAGCAGCTGCTTTGTGTTAGAATGGTGCTGGTTGCCAATGGCCTTTTGCTCAACTTATCCTCTCTGAAGAAGCAGGTGTCTGAGTGAAAGGAAGGTGTTCATGGCTGGCTGGGGGTTACCGGGAGGCCTCACAATGCAGCATTGTTTGGGTGAACTTCCATATTTCTCGAAGAGAAAGACTATCAGTAATCAAACTACAAGACACTGACATAGAAACCTTAAGACAAATTTAGTTGTTTTAGTGAGAAATTTTTCATTTCAGTACTTACAGCCCACCTCTAGGCACTCCCCTTGTGTGGGATTCCCATACCTGGGAAAGCCCATTAGTGGTCAGATCTTCATTTAGCCCATGGTGAGACCTGATGCACCAACCTTGCATCAGCAGAGGAACAGGCCGCTCAGGTGACTGCAGTGCTCTTACCCCTGATATAGGCTGTCCCTGTCCAGGCCCCGGCTGGGGCTAGACACAGCCATGTGCTCACTCAGCTTCTCAGACCCTGTTGCCTCTGTGTTCTTCCAGGGACCTCTTTTAGCTGTGTTGATGTTTATGAGGCAGGCAGCCATTCCTACCTGCCCAGGAGACATTTGTGTTTCTCTGCTGGGTGTTGACCAGTGCTGATGGACTCTGGAGCCAGAGGGTCAGAGCAAATCCTGGCTCTGTCGCACACCTGCTACCCACTGTGGTCGTGGGCTGGCCGTGCAACCTCTTTGTGCCTCATTTCCTCACCTCCAGGGTGATAATACAGTACCTGTCCCTTTGGAGTGCTGTTTTGAGCATTAAATGAATTAATTTATGTAATGTGCTTAGAGTAGTTGGTTCACAAGAAGCTCTATGTAAATACTAGTTGTTGCTGATTATTATTGAATAGCAGTTATAATTACTGATTGTTAAGTTTTTCTCAGAAAGAAACTTTATTCCCCATATATAGCCAAATGAGCACTGTCTCCTTCAAAGAGGTCATCTCAGACGCTTCAGGGAAATGTGCTCAAGGCATATTCTTTGTTAGTCTCAGTGGAGAAATTTCTGTCCTTTCATTTTTAAGGCCTTGTGATAGTCAAGTTGTTAAGCAGAGATGCCATCAGAGGAGGCAGGTGTTCAGTTGAGGTGCTGGGACAGCATTTCAGCGAGAGTCATCCACAGGTCTGCCCTCGGGAAGCAAGAGCCCCTCTGACCTGTCGCCGCCAGGAGTACAGGCCAGGCAGGCACTTGACACTCCCGTAGCCAGTCTGGGTTTAAGCCTCAAAAGGGAGAAAACGGGACAGCCTGTAGGGTCCCATTCTGATGCTTTTCATCATCCAGGAGTGCACAGTGTGGATCCCAAGACCGGCAAGGAGATTCTATACAACCTGGAGTCGCTCATCAACTCTGCCGTGTTCCCAGGCCTGCAGGGAGGACCCCACAACCACGCCATTGCTGGTAAACCATAATCTCCTGCCGTGCTCATCTGTGGGCCCTAATTCCCATCTCCAAAAAGCAGGTTCCAGGACTTCCATGCTGGGGAATCAACTAGAGCAGCAGTCCCCAACCTGTTTGGCACCAGGGACCATTTTTATGGAAGACAGTTTTTCCACAGACCAGGGGTGGAGGTGGGTGGGGAGGTGATGGTTCCAGGATGATTCAGGCGCATTACATTTATTGTGTACTTTATTTCTATTATTATTACATTATAATATATAACGAAATAATTTTACAACTCACCGTAGGTTGGGGACCCCTGAACTAGAGGACCATTCTGTCCAAGAGATGCTAACGTAAGAAAAGGGAGACAGTTGAGATTGGTGTCAGGTGGGGACAGGAGGGAAGTGGTGTCCACTCCACATGTACGGCCACCTGGAGGCAAAGCTGGGTCAGGCCAGTTTGTAAAGTGTGTGGAGCCCTCTTTGAGAAACAGCAGGGAAGGACCCTGACAGTTAGAGGAGGGCATAGCAAGGCTGAGGGAGATTAGTATCTAGACCCCGCAGGATGAGCCCCTCTCCCATGATGGGCCCTGGCCTGTGGGGGTGACCCTCCCTCTTCACATGGTGCCACATTGGTGACTGCAGGGTCGAGTTGCATGACCAACCCGCAGGCTCTCTTAGGATATTTGCACTGATCTCAGGGTCATCCCACTGTCTAGCAAAGTGCTTGGAATGAAGGTGTAACTTCTGGGTCAGGAGGTGCACTAGCATTTCCAAAGAGGAAACAAGAAGGGTGGGAGGTGTCGGGGGTCGCTGGGCTGTTCTTGTGTTTTCTCCTTACACCTACACAGTCCGCATCCACGGTTTCAACTCTGGGTTGCTGGGGCCGCCTGGTCCCCAGCCACTCGGGGCCCTTTCCCGTTGTTTCCACAGCACTGATTGGAGGCTCTGTACGGGGACTCAGGCATGTAGATTTTGCGTCCTCCTCCATTCTCCTTCAGACAACGAGTTCATTGGCCTTAAGGAGCTCAGCAGCTCTGGAAGAATGTTTCACAGTGTATGTTTGAGTGTCCCCAAATTGTACCGAGGTCTTAAACTACTCTGTATAGTGGGCAAGTCATAGTGTATTGCCTATATCCATCTTGCCTTTAAGCAGCCCTCAGGACCGAACGCAGGTACAGGGTAGAACAGGGCTGCACCTCCCATCTGGACTCGGATCCGAGACATCTGCCTAACTCGGGACCAAAGCATCAGCTGTTAGGGCAGCTAAGTAATCATTTTCACACGTCAAGATTAAAAAGGACTGTAAAATCCATCTTGCTTAGGAAAAGTGTTGCGATAGTAATATTGTGAACACTAAACTTCCATGAGAAAGGTTACCTCAAAAGCAGTTTCTCGGAGAGAAGAGGCTTCTCCAGTAAAGGTCTGGAAGGTTAGCCCAGTACTTGTAGGGTTTCTTGGAGGAGAATATAAGAATGTCCTTTCGGTGACATTGAAAAAGCAAAGAAGTTTGAGTGGAAAGGAGTGATTTTTTTTTCACTCATCTTTGATTCTGTCCTGCTTTCCTGATGCAGCGTCTCTCCCTGTCTAGGTGTTGCTGTGGCCTTGAAGCAAACCATGACTCCGGAATTCAAAGTTTATCAGCACCAGGTGGTGGCCAATTGCAGGGCTCTGTCTGAGGCCCTGAAGGAGCTGGGCTACAAAATTGTCACAGGTATAGGCACAAAGGGTGCTCGGCAGGCCTGCCCTCCTCTTGGTTGCGTTAAGCCTTGCTCCTTGGTTTGTCTGATGATCGGGATGTTGGCCCCATAGGGTAGTGGCCCTGGGCGCTGCTGCCTTGGCAGTGATGACCCAGGACCACCTTGGGAGGAGGTCAGCCTCCCCTTAGGGCATGCCATGTCAACTGCCCCCTCAGGTGGGCCACACATGATCGGAATAGTAGCTGCCATTTGTCACCAGCGTGAGGACTGCATGTCCTCAGAATGGCTCTGCAGCAGGATACCTGAGGCTCACCTAAGAGAGGTTGGGCTGCAGCAGTCACAGCCCTGGTAGGTGGCAGAGCCCAGACTTGATCCTGGCAGGACCAGCACCTTCCTCTACAGTGATACCCTGTGCTGTGCTTCAAAGTGTCTCCTCTTGCCCCGCTGAGGTGGGGTGCGGCAGGCCCTCCCCACTGGCCGGGAAGCCTCTCAGTTTGCTGCACGTTCCTGGGGAGCTGGCTTGCTATGGCCGTGTTCGCTTGAATACAAACCGTCCTGGGGCTGACTGGCTACAAATGAGATGGACTTTCCAGGGGAGGCTACTGAGCAGTGCTGTCACCTCCCAGTCACTGCAGGTTTCCACAGGGATGACACGTTTTCCTGGCAGGCAGTGTTCTCAATTATCTTGAGGAAGGGTGGCTGCATTCCTAGGCTCACGAGGCTGCTGTACGTGCTAGCAGAGGCGTGGTCCAGGAAGACAGGTCCTGGTATCTGCAGACCTGGGTGCCCACTCCCTGCACCCTGCCCTTTGTGGGGATCACAGGCCCCCCGGTCTGAGGAGTGGAGCTCCCACCAAACCTTGTGTCCATGAGTGCCAAACTGGCCAAGGCTAGCTGGGCAAGCACCCTCTTCTCAGTAGTCCTGGCCATACCCTCTTTTATATTCTACTTCACTTCCTGTCTGTTCTTTCTCCTCTGTCTTCCACATCGTCACATAATAAAGCCCTAGAAGTCCCAGTGTGGACTGTGACCTTCAGGGCCCTTAGGTCACTGTTTCTCAAACTTGGATGTGCACGCGATCCCCTGGGATCCTGTTGCAATGCAGATTCTGACGCAGCAGGTCTGGGGTGGGAGCTGCGCTTCTAAGCAGCTCCCAGGTGATGTGGTTCGGGAACCACCCTTGGCGTTGCGAGAGCTTAGGCCATGGTCGTCTCCTGGCAGCCCCAGCAGTAGGACTCCTAGTGAGTCTCAGGAGAACACGTCTCCTCCGCCTTTCCACACCCCCAGGTCTGCCCTCACCCTGTGTTCATTGCTCCTGAGCTCCTGATGCCAACCATTGAAGTACATAATGGTTGTGAATACCTGCTTTGTGCCTGGTGCTATGGCAAGTACTATGTCCAATATCTCATTTAAATCTTATGACAGCCTTTGAATTATTTGTCATTCTTTAACAAATGGGCATCTGAGGTTCCAAAATGTTGAGCTCCCTGACTAAAGCCACATAGCAAAGTAAGTGGACTCAGCCAGGGGGCTCCAAAGCCAAGACACTGTCTTAGTTCACCCATGTCTTTCAACTCATCTCTGCAGCAACCCAGTGACAGAGGTGAGGACACTGTTGTTCCCCAGTCAACACCCTGGTTTAATGAAGTTTCAAAGTGGAGGATCCAGGGGCTCAAAAGACTCCTGTGGGACCTTGGGCCAGGTCTAGAAAGCTCTGTTGGCCTCCCTGCCTCATCTTCCCACTTTGGTACTACGGTCAGCCTCACAAGACTTGGGATAAAATACACGACAGGCTGGCACAGTGTCTGGCACCTAATACATGCTCAGTGGATGTAGTTACCCCACTGATATAGTAAGTTGAACACTGCCCACTACTCTGATGCTGCCTTAGAAGAAGGAACCTTTAAGATCGACGTCAGAGACACTTGGGAAATTCCTAAGGAACTTTTCAGAGAAAACAGAAGCCATGAGTGGTCCAAACAAGCTGTCCCTTCCCCAGAGGAGCTACAGGCCCGTGTTGGCACCTGTCATGCTATCATGGAAGGGGGCAGTCTGTGCCACAAAAGCTGCTGGAAGTTACCTGTCAGTCTCACATCCCTCCTCAGTTACCCCTTTTGAAAGTGCTGTGTCCTTTATTTCAGATTCTTAGGCTGGGGCACCTTCTCTTTAATGGGTGATTAAAATTCTAGGCCACGTGGTGGTATGCTCACCTTCCTGCCCTCATCTGCTCCGGCCTCCTGCACCCCTGCCCTCATTTCCTAGGGAGAGAGATTCCTTCACCCAGCATACAGTCAGCTTTCTGCATTTCTATGTGTTCAACTTTGTTTCCAGGTGGTTCTGACAACCATTTGATCCTCGTGGATCTCCGTTCCAAAGGTACAGATGGCGGAAGGGCTGAGAAGGTGCTAGAAGCCTGTTCTATTGCCTGCAACAAGAACACCTGCCCAGGTGAGAATCTTCCTTGGTCTTCTCTTCCACACCCTCTCCCATCTGCATTTCTTCGGCCAGAGTTGTAGCTGATGCAGGTGTTTGGCTCTGTCCTGGCCTTGCCCGAAGGTAGAAATGAAAAGACTGACATGGAGCGAGGTGGTACAGTCATTGGATGGGGTAGGCGGGGGCCCCTTGAAACCAGAGGATGTGTTTCTCAGTTGATTGGTTTTTTTTTTTTTTTGAGACAGAGTCTCACTGTGTTGCCTGGGCTAGAGTGCCGTAGCGTCAGCCTAGCTCACAGCAACCTCAAACTCCTGGGCTCAGGTGATCCTACTGCCTCAGCCTCCCGAGTAGCTGGGACTACAGGCATGCGCCACCATGCCCGGCTAATTTTTTCTATGTATTTTTAGTTGTCCAATTAATTTCTTTCTAATTTTAGTAGAGACGGGGTCTCGCTCTTGCTCAGGCTGGTCTCGAACTCCTGAGCTCAAACAATCCACCTGCCTCGGCCTCCCAAAGTGCTAGGATTACAGGCGTGAACCACCGCGCCCGGCCCTCGATTGTTAATAAAATGTAGGCGACACATCTCAGACCCAGACAGATGTTTACCTCCTTTTTAGGAGTGAGGGACACATCACAGAAGACCACTTAGTGGACTACTGAAATAGAATGGCCAAAACGGGGTTCTGCCTCCTCTTGCCTTGGGTTTGATCTCTAGTTTTTTACTCGGTTGTACTCTTCTTGCTAGAGCAAGCCAGTATCCTCAGGCCCATTCTTTTTTGCTCACATGTCCTTTTTTAAATGTACAGTGGTCACAGTGGTGAGTTGAGTACAGCTTAGGGACAGAGCCCTATTTATCTTGAAGGTGACAGAAGCGCCCTGCGGCCCAGCGGACTGCGACTAGGGACCCCAGCACTGACATCCCGAGGACTTACGGAAAAAGACTTTCAAAAAGTAGCCCGCTTTATTCACAGAGGTGAGCATAAAATTTTGGAAGTTTGCCACGTCTTATTGTGTGTAGAAGTTTGATTATGACAGTAGTTGAGACCCCACCACTGAAGGACATTTCTGTGTCAAGGCTGAGTGCTGGGGCCGGAGACAGCAAAAACCACTTAAGCACATCACTCGCCTGAGAGGTTTTGTCTGCCCGGGGAAGGGTGTATCCAAGAACCATTTCTAAGGCGAACACAGGGGCCGGGTGCTTATGCTCCCCAGCTGTAATAGTGCCTCGGCTCTCAGCCACCCTTGCCCACTCCAGGCATGTGGCTCGGGATGGGCCCAGAGGGGACTCATTTGTGTCTTGCCGGCACAGGGATAGAGCTGACTCTGCGTATCCAGGACGACATCGGTGCGAGGGCCAGCCTGAAGGAGTTTAAGGAGAAACTGGCAGGGGATGAGTACCAGAGCGCCGTGCGGGCTCTCCGGGAGGAGGTCGAGAGCTTTGCTTCTGTCTTCCCTCTACCTGGCCTGCCCGACTTTTAACAGAGCCACCTGCCCCGCACCTGCCGGGCACTGTTGAGGAAGCCACCTGCGGGAGGACCCAGATTCCCGAGAGTCAGAAGAGCTGCCCCATAGGAACCTATGTAGTTTCTTTGTGTGCCCTTTGAGGGAGTTTATTTTGGACTTTTTTCATGTTTCTTCACAAATCAAAATTTAAGTTCCGTTGTTAGTAATTCTGGTATAGGTTATTAAAAAATACAAATTTGAGCCTCACTTTCTCACTGCTGTATATACTCATTCTAGAAAAATAAAATACTGTGTAGCCATTTAGCCTTAATCATTTAGACAGTGGTATGGGGCAAAGCTATTAGAAGGATTTGGGATTGTGCCTACCCTTCTCTCAGAGTTACTGGGCTCTCTGCTGCCTGCTGCAATAGAGTACCAAGTTCACAGCCTGTGAACGCTGCCCATTCTAGCTCACTACCCAGTGGATGCCAAAGGAGAACTGAATTAGAGCCATTACAGTTGAAGAAGGAACAACTTCAGAAGCCACTGCTATGTGCTGTAAGTCAGAACTGTAAGTTAGACAAGGCTTTTGCTCTCAGGAGCTCTAAGTACACTGTAGAAATGATCTCCATCCACCAGGTGGGGGAAGTCCTGTGTCCCATCTGGTGTGAAAATCAACCAGGGGCTTTCCTGCTGCCTGAGATAACCAACGCCCTGCTGCACTCAGGAAACCAAATGTCACCTTCCCAAAGAAACTTTATTTTTCACATAGCTGAAGTGCAAAACATAGGTGACCATTTTTAATAAGCACAATTAAATTTTTAACCACAGAATGTCTACAAGAATTATAGCTTTAAAAAATACAACCAATTTTTATATTCCAAAAATATCTGAACTCAAATAAATTAATGTCTTAAAAAGTACACATTTCATACTATATCTGTTTGGCATTGACTCTGGTTAAACTCTTGTGCAGCAACACCTACGAGATTCTATCACATATGTGTCAGTCACACTCCTGCACCAGCCACTGTAACTACAGCTCACGTGGTTGGGACTCACATCCACAGACAGGAACAGGAACATGCAATAATAAAATAGCTCTTTTAAAAATAACAAATACGAATTCATCACAGACTATGCTTTTCACTGCAACCTTGAGGGTGGCATTTATCTCGATCCAATCTGTGACTCCAACCATCTAGTGCTGGACAGCCTGGGCGAGGCCCCCTGTGGTCCCACCTTTCAAGCGGCAGCCCCTGCAACTTGGGGTCCAGCCTGCTGGCGTTTACCCCACAGTGGGGACAGTTGCTGCAGAATCTGCGAGGTGTCGGTGACCAACCAGTCCCTGCATCTCTGTGTGCAGCCTCCGCTTTGGGGCTGAGCAGACACTGCCAGGAAGTGTGGCTGACATTGCAGGTCAATCTACTGCGGCCTCATCCCCTCCCCATACCCGTCCACCTGCCGCCTCCTTCCCACAGCTGTGGCCAAACCATAATCAGTTAAGGCCACATCAGGCAGTGCTGGAGGAGAACAGATGGGCTCAGGAAAACTCAGTTTGTTCCACTTTATCTGCTGAGATTGGTTTTGCTTTCCAGCCAAAAGTAGAAATTTGATGCCTTTTCCTTTTATCGTCTCTTTTAAAGATTGCATTTTTATCACTTTCTATCACAGTATTGGGGCAAAGCCAGAAAGCTGGCTGGTTTGCTTCAAAGTACAAACCAAGGCACTTTCTTCTGAGCTTTTCAGGGAGGTGGGAGGTAAAGGAGGCTGGGAAAAATCTGGCTGCCTGCACTGGGGGCTCAGTTCCTCCAACAGCTTTGCACACCTACTGGCGAATCTCCCACCCCACACACAGTGCTACCAGCTATGCATGCGCAGATGTGACAGAGCAGCAGGAGACACTGACCCCACATGTGATGCTGGGCTGGGGCGTGCATTTCACACCGCGGAGCGGGCAGGCAGGATGCATGCAAGATGGGCAGTGAGCAGACAGCTGCTCTCAGCCGCCAGAACCACGTGGCTCAGCTGCAGCCCTGGCACTTGGGGTGGCATCAATTGGGCTTCCTAGGATTTTGAAATGGGGCTTATCTGTCTGGAGTTGAAATCTACTATACTTTGAATACAGCAACTGATCTGAAGCAAAGAATTTAAAGGCTAGATGGGGTACGACAGGTAAGCTACTGAGGTCTATTTCCAAATTCTGGAGCAATGTGTGTAACTTCAGTTGTTGGAGTAAATTACGGAAAAGTCACAATTTCTAAAACCCAAAGGTTCCACCCAAGGAGTGAAGTTCCTAGGGAAACAGGTGTGAGGCGGCAGGTCAGGCTGCCGTGCCTCATGCCACAAAGGGCTGCAGGCTGATCTCTAAAGTGGAGTACCTGGAAACCACCCATGCACACCTGCTCACCTGCCCAGGTGGTTCTTCACCTGGACAGCTTCAGAAAGGGGGAGGGGTGATGGGCTGTTGGGAAAGTTGACACAAACCTCAGACAACCAGTTTCAGTACCTGGGCCCTCAATGCAGCAGGACTGAAGCAGCAAGAAGGGGTACTGATGTCATCTATTTTCTGAGAAGTACAGTTTTTAAAGATTTTCATTAAAACATATTAACCATTCACTAGAATACCTCAAGTGAAAATTCTTGAAGAGACTAGTCCCATGGCATATGTTCCCCCACCACTCAGGTTTGTAGATGTGAGAATTCTAGTAGGTTCGAGTTTCCCAGAGTGGACAGGGGCTCGGGGGATGGGGACCTTCACGGTTAACTGCCTCTGCCCAAGTTATGACTCAGTCCTAGTACTTTAAGATCTTTGAAGGGAAACATACTTTGCATCAATTAATCCTTTTAAAGTGCCACACTGAAAAGTTAGCTTTCAACCAAAATCTAAATCCTGGAGTCCAAACACTAGTCGGTGAAACCATCTTTACTTAACGAAGACCCATCTCGAGGGAGGCCTGCCGGGTTTGCCGTTTCTGTGGCTGCCCCACAGAATGGTCTGTTCTGTTCATTGCCCACTGCTCTCTTGCCTTCGTGCTCAGGATCCTTGAGGCCAAATGCCAAGCAAATGCTCCCAAGTGGACTTCTCCTCAGGACCACTGAGTGCACAGCTTTAGCTTCTAGAAGGCCAAGTTATGGCTGCAGTCCAGCATCTGCCCATAACCCCTCTTCTGCCTTTTGCAAATTTCCGAGGTGAGAACAGTGTTAGCTGTGAGTCTCTGAGTTGGTGAGACACATGGGAACTCAACAGCACTGGCACCAATGATCTTTCTGGCCTTCCTTCCCTTCGAGATAAAATGTCCCGTGGTCTTGTCCTTAGAGGCGTTAAGTAGACAGCACTTAGCTAGCCAGTGAGAAAACAAAAGCAGCATCTAGAACACGCAGGGAGGGGTGGTAACATAAAGGAGCCCATGAAGAGAGGCAGGCTTCCTGCGCAACCTGCCTCCCATGCAGACAGCGGACATTTCACGTTTAAAAGCTGCCAAGGTGCTCCTGGCAACTCCTCTGTGAACATGTGCCATGGGAACAGGTACAAGGAGAACGGATGAGATGTAGGTGGTACCATTTGCCGCAAAGGTTCTGGGTCACAGCCTTAGGAGCAAAATCACATACCCTGACAGAAGCAGGGACCCTGACTGGATGCTGATGGCCAGAGCCAATGGACTGTGTCCTTGTGCAGAGAATGGGGGCAAGGAAGGGACTACAGGAGTGATATGACACAAGCCCTCTTTTGTCACTCTTGGCTTCCACCAAGGGCTTCTGCCTCCTTGACAAGAGAAGCTGGCTGCCTCCACGAGAGACCTCTCCTGTGTGCGGGCAGACCAGGCCTCAGCAGCAGGCCCCAGCAGATGCACGTGTGGTGGACTTGGGTCCATTTCAGCACAATTTTCATGGAACAAATTAAAAAGAAGCAGTAATACCCAGAGCTGTCCCCACTTAGGGGGAAAATACAGCTTTAAAAAGAAAGGCGTAAAATTGTTAAGGTTGCAGGAAACCCTCCATCTACATACCGGCAGCAACTGGGTAAGGAGCCTGAGGGAGGCTGGCGGTCACCGTGAGTGGGACAGGTGCTGGGTGTCTCCTTTCATCTCAAACTCCTTTCTCGAAGAGGGGGACTCACTTGGGGACCGAGGTGCACACAGCCTCCCAAAGGTAGATCCTGGTGAGTGCCAAGCAGGAGCTTATCCAGGAAATCCCTGCCACCTGAGTTCTCACCAGCTGGCCTCACTGCCCGGACCAGCTGGCTGGACAGAAAACTGCGCTGTCACTGTGCCCAAGAGACCCTGTGAGAGGTAGTGACGTGGTTGCAAAGGTTTGCATGGGTGAGGGCTGGAGCGTGGCCTCTGCCATAGTCCAGTGGGTCTGCAGACCTTCCCCACGAGGGGAAGTGCTCACGCATTCTGGTCGGCAGGAGCTGGTGGGTGACCCAGGGGAGCTGCTGGCTGTTAACTCTCTTGCACAGCAGTGATGGCCTCATGGCACGGGGGCCCTGCCCTGTCTGCTGTGCTCTCCAGCCCCTAGGGCGGTCCTCACCACTGGCTTTGGTCATCTGTGCCCACTTCACACTGGGACTAGTGACCTCTCGTTCTTGCTGACCATGGAGAGTAAGTCCCCACGCCCACTCAGTCATGTCTCTCCCAGGTGCGGAGGTGAGGACGGGACAGGGTGCTGCTCACACTCCTGTGTCTTGGGGCCCAGAAGATCATGCATGTCCCACAACCCGTGGGTGCGGCGCTTTCTCCCCTCCATCTGCTTGTGCAGGGGCCTTCCCTGGACGATGGGCTTTAGGAGGCCAGATAAAGGGCTGCAGCTGGGGTGTGAATGCAGCGATGGATGTCATGTCCTCTCTTTTCCACCAAGTCATCACAGTTAACTGGCTGTCTCCCTTGCTGATTTTGCCACTGAAGTGTCTGGTGATGCTGACTGTGGCCAGGGTGCTCCTCCCATGCGGGCTTTGGCCTTTCCACCCACCCTTCACCCTACCTCACGCCACTGAGGGACTGGTAGCTTCTCTTCTGCCCTGGCTGCCAGTCTTCAGGAAGCCAAGACAACCACCCTCCCCCGATCCTTGCGAGCCTTCACAAGGGAGTCGAGAACAGCTGTCACTGTCCTTCCAGATGCCTTCGCAGAGAGCCAGGTTGCCACCTCCGCCTGGAGCCACTTTGGAACCACAGCTGCCAGACACCAGACACCTAAACCGCCCAGCTCAAGCAACTGTTTGGTCATGCCAACCTCACCCGTCCCCATACCCTGAGTCACAGGTCTTGGTCACAGTGGCTGGGACCAACCTCAGATTTTGTACAAAAAGCTGGGGACGTAGTCACACCTGAGCATGGGGTGGCTGGTCCCGGGAGACTCCTGCATGTAGTGCAGCTTCAGCAGCTCGGCCAGGTACTGGACCACTCTGACGTCCTCGTTCACCAGACCCAGGTTCAGCTTCAGGAAGCTTGCCTGGCGGCTGGCCAGCAACTGCTCAGTCTCCTTGTCATGGGCGGGCAGGTGCAGGTGGTGGCAGAAGGTATAGAGGAAGGCCTTGGAGCAGAGCTGGGTGAACATGCTCTGGACATGCAGGTAGTAGGTGCTGCCCCGCTTGATCTGGGTGCGATGGTCGGCCAGGCGGGGCACCAGGGTGCCTCTGTAGAGTGGGCAGCGCAGGGTCTTATTGTCCAGGTCCAGGATGCTAGTGTAGCGGCTGTAGCGGCTCAAGGCGTGGAGGGTGCCAGCACCAGCAGGGGAGGCCACTCTGAAACAGACAGGCCAAGGTCAGGAGGAAGGGAAAGGGCCAGAAAGGCACAGGCAGATGCACCCGCCCAGCCAGCACACACTGGCTCTTCCCAGAAGGCAGACATGCTCACACGATCTTCAAAAGGCTCCTCGCCACTCATGACTATGGTCAAACACCTTGGCTTGGCCCACAAGGCCCTTCCGGTCTGACTGCTGCTGGCCTCTGAAGCCTCATCTATTACTTCTCTGCGTGGACTCTCCTTTGGAGCCACGTCAAGCTTTCAGTGGCACCTCCAAGTCACCAACCTCTTTGTTCTGCCTGGAATGCCCTCTCCCTCTTGTGTTTGGCTCGTGCCAGTTCAAACCTTTTTCAGCCTTCCCTGTTCTGCCTCTGTGCGCCTCTGCTTTCATGTTGTGACCTTGGCTAAGTTCCTTAACCTCTCTGAGCCTCACTTGTGAGACGGAGGTAATAGTTCCTCATGTGGCCACTACACAGACACAATTAGTTGAGCCTCAGCCAGGTCAGCCCTCAGTAGGTGCTGCCACCGTCATCCCCACGACTTTTAGCCCAGCACTGATCAGCGTGGGTACTACCGTTCGTTCACTCATCTCTCCCACCACACAAGGAGCTTCGAGGTTCTAGAGACCCAGGACTATGTCTGATTTGGTCTCATACCCCCACGGTCTGGCACATCAGAGGCAGGAGGGCAATGTCTGCTCAGTGAGGGAACCTGCGCCTTAAAAATCTTCCTCTAGAGCAGCTTCCCCGGAGGAGCAGGGATTAGCCAGCGGGGTCTGGCAACCAGCTGGCTGAGATTTTACAGACTGCCATACCTCGGACATTTAGGGCTCATGCCAGACATGGGTATTGTGTAAAAACGCCTAACAGTCACTTGGGATGAAGGGAATCTCACAGTACTTTTTCCTTCCCGGGTTCTATCTTCTTATATCTACTACATGCCAGGCACTGCCCTGAGAGCTGAGACCAATGAAGAATGAACAGGAACTCTCATCCTGCACAAGCTCAGGTTGACTGGGAAGACAAGACATGCAAATGCACACAAGCACGGCAAGGTGAGGGCAGATGCAGTTGGGAAGACCCGAGAGCTCGTGAAGGAGTGGCCTCGGAGCTGGGCCTTGGAAAAGGGTGGGCTCTGGGGACTGCGCAAGGTGTGGCCGACCACGGAAAGAGCAAGGTCACAGAGATGTGACAGCCTAGACCTACCCAGGCCATGCGTCCTGACTGTAAGGAGAGCAGTAGGCTGTGGACCACCAGGAGGGATCAGGGCCTGCAGGCAGCTGTTCACCAGGGCATGGAGCCGTCTGCAAGACAGGCCCCTGGGCCTCAACAGGCCGACATTCCTGGGGCCTCCTCCCTCACACTCAGTCTGCTCCTGAGGTACCCTCACCTGCCCCAAGGGGGGCCAGCCCTGAGCTCGGCATGTCTAGCCCTGCCAGGCTCTGCCGCAGCGATACACCTAGGTCTTGCCTCCCATCTTCCTGTCTCTGTCTCTGCTGGGACACCCACTCTCAGGCTCAGCCTCCTGTGACACAGTTCTGACACTCCCCTAATGGTGGCACCACTTCTTTTGGAAGATGCTGGCTACTTCTAACTCTTCCTACATTTGTTTCCTGAAAAGCTCCTCCTCCGGAAGCCAGATGACATGGGAAGGGACAAGCCCCAGGCCTCTGTCCCTCAGCTACATAGCACCCCGAATGAGTGCCTCACCCTCCACCTCCCATGACTGCCCTGGATCGCTACGGCCAACCCCAAACCTGGGAGGACACTGAGGCCCAGGTGGTGCCATGGCTTGTCCAAGGTCACCTAGCTAGGAAGTAGCCAAGCCAGGACTCAACCCAGGGCCTGTGACCCAAGCTGGCTAGCACTTTCTCCCACCAGAACTGAGCTCTGTTTTTCAGTCTGGGGCTTGTCACTGCTGCTTAGTAAGCAATACAATTATCTCCGGTGTTCATTTAAAATGACAGGAGACCAGCTTGACTGTTTATCCATCTCTGTTTTTTTGATTCTTTGAGACAGTCTCGTTTTGTTGCCCAGGCTAGAGTGCCGTGGCGTCAGCCTAGCTCACAGCAACAACCTCTAACTCCTGGGCTCAAGTGATCCTCCTGCCTCAGCCTCCCTAGTAGCTGGGACAACAGGTGCTTGCCACTATGCCCGGCTAAGTTTTTGTTTCTATTTTTAGTTGACCGGCTAAATTTTTTCTATTTTTAGTAGAGATGGGGTCTCGCCCTTGCTCAGGCTGGTCTCTAACTCCTGAGCTCAAACAATCCTCCCGCCTCGGCCTCCCAGAGTGCTAGGATTACAGGCGTGAGCCACCGTGCCTGGCCTGTTTATCCATCTCTTATCCCAACAAATGGCTGATCCAACTGACAAGCACTTTCAGGCAGAGGGCCTAAGTTAGTTAAAATAAATAAAATAATCACCATCAAGGGCCAGTGAGACTGCTGGTCTGAGGTGACAGTCCTTAAAGACAGTCCATCATCTCAGCTGGTTTTAGGTGGAGTCAAAGGACCAGAGGGGGAGACGCTCCTGGGCCATGGCTCTTGGAAGTGCAGATTGAGCCAGCACAGAAGACCGGCCCTCTACGGCTCAATACCTTTGAGGACAGGAAGGTCACACCACACAAAGGCACCTCTCCTACTCCTCATGACTTTTAAAGGAGGCCTCAGTCTGCCTGCATGTCAGAGCTGGCTCTGCCCGCTGGAGGGACTTGCAGTCTGCCCGTCTCTAAGCACTTCTCAGGCAGGCACTGCACGCCAGGGCTTCCGACAGCTGCAGAAGGTGGGCATCGGGAGCCCCTCGCAGAAGTTCAACACATCTGGGGGAGATGGGTGGTCCGAATTCACACGCCTAGTGGTGTCAGTACCAGGACCCGACCCAGACCACCCACTGCTCCCCGTGACAGCCACCGCTCCTGCTACAGTTTCATCTCCTGATACTCCACCACCGTGTCCATCGCTCACCTCCCCCAGGGTTTCTTTGGCTGAGCCTGTCGCCAATCCATCCCCACTCCACTTCTGGCCCCTCAACGGCCCCTCCAGGGACTGTCCCCAATGGCACAGGTCTCCCAATCCCACTATGCCTCACACCTGTGCAGGGTGCCAGAAGCAGATGCTCCCAGTACCCAACATCTGCGTGTGGGCCGGGCGCAGTGGCTCACGCCTGTAATCCTAGCTCTCTGGGAGGCCGAGGTGGGCGGATTGTTTGAGCTCAGGAGTTCGAGACCAGCCTGAGCAAGAGCGAGACCCCGTCTCTACTAAAAATAGAAATTAATCAGACAACTAAAAATATGTAGAAAAAATTAGCCAGGCATGGTGGTGCATGCCTGTAGTCCCAGCTACTTGGGAGGCTGAGGCAGAAGGATTGCTTGAGCCCAGGAGTTGGAGGTTGCTGTGAGCTAGGATGACACCAGGGCACTCTAGCCTGGGCAACGCAGTGAGACTCTGTCTCAAAAAAAAAAAAAAAAAAAAAAAAAAACCACCAAAAACATTTGGGTGTGCTCAGAAGGTTCAAGAAGGAGAACTTAATGGCAGAAGCAGTCAGACACTTTCCCTCCTTAGGAGTCTGTGCACAGATCTCAGCTGTCACTTCCAATGGGCCCTGGTCTGAGCCCCTGCTGTCCTGGCCTGCCTTCCTCACATGGTCTGCTAGGCTGTCAGAGGAGCACTCACACGTGTCAGGCACTGATCAGATGCCCTGTGACATCTGCTGTCACAAGGTAGGTCCTGTCAGCTCCTTCTGCAGACAAGAAAACTGCCTCAGAGAGGTCAAGCTGACGGCATGGTGACAGAGCAGGACGGGAGTGAGCACACTCACCCATCGCAGGATGCCCTGTGGCTGGCTCACCTTACGATTCTGGCACTGGGCAGTGTCTGGCACTTAGCAACCCTCGATATGGGCAAATGATCACTCAGTTCAACCCTCTCATCTTCTTAGAGTGGAGGAGTGACTTGTCCAGGTGCCCCCTGAGAACGAGCCAGTGGTAGGGCCGGCCCCAGAACTCAGACCTCTTCTCCCCTGCACGGGGCCAACACACTGCCTACCTGCCAGCTACCCGCCTCTGCACCCTCCCAGACATCAACTCATCGCGGCCAGCCTTTACAGCTCAGCCCAGCACAGACCTCAGAACCCTTCTCAGCAAAGCACTCCAGCCAACTGCCCCTTCTAGAGATGGAAGTTCAGGAAAAATCCCTGGAAAGGGCAAGCCCCTCCCGAGCTTGGTCTTGGATAAGCCTTTTACGTTGACATGTTGATGAGCTGTCCCTACTTGTGTCATTTAGATGCTCTACTTTTTAAGAGAAAAAACAAAATCAAAGGTCAAGGGTTGGGGTGAGGGGAGTTGGAGAACAGAGGGGTGTGTGTAAGGGATGCCAAGCCATCCTTCCACAAGAACAGCAGGGAAAACAATCTGGAAAAGCCTTCCCTGTCGGGACAGACTAGTTAAACCTGAGAGCACAGAGGTGGGTAGCATCGGTGCTGAGGAACAGGGTCCCAGGAGGGACCCTGAACCCACCAAGCCTCAGAGTTCAGAGGCAAGGACAGGACAGTGTCCCGTGATGCCATGTATGGACCGCCTTTCCCGGTGTCTCCCAAACACTCCATCCCAAGTCCAAACCTCGGCACACCCCGATGCCCGGCCCTCACTGTGCTTCCTGACCCATCCTCAAGGTCACTCAAGCAAAAACCAAAGACCTCCAGGCGCAGTCTCCCTCCCTTCCTGTGTGTCACTAAACTGCTCCCTTGGTATTCTGAGAACACAGGAAGGATCCCACTACCACAACTCTCATCTCCTGATTAGCAAGGTTGTGGTCACCTGTCTGTCTCCCCTCCTGGACTATGAACTCTTCCAGAGCAGTGGCCTTGCTCAGGTACCTGCAACTGGCACCCAGCCCCTGTCAGCACAGCCTTGAGTGGATTCTCAACAAATGATTCAAGCCAGGATGTGGAAGCCGCATTTGTTAACCCCAGCACCATGACCCCAGACAAAGCCTAACGCAGGAATGGTTATGAAGGTCCATGTGACTTCCAGGAAGGGCAGACACAGGGAGACTAGGGAGATGGTGACCTCATTGATATTAGGGACCCATGCAAAGATTAAGTTGGAAAAGTAAAACAAACGGTTGCTGGTTGCAGGGTAGAAAAAATTCCTTTGTCCTTTCTTTGTGGGAAGTATAGCCTGTCTGTGTCAGAAGAGACTTTGAAGATCACCGACCTTAGCACCTTTGTTTTACAAATCAGCAAAGCGAACTGGTGGCTCATAAACCTGTAATCCTAGCACTCTGGGAGGCCGAGGCGGGAGGATTGCTGGAGCTCAGGAGTTTGAGACCAGCTTGAGCAAGAGTGAGACCCCATCTCTACTAAAAATAAAAAAATTAGCTGGGTGTGGTAGTGCACGCCTGAGCTACTCGGGAGGCTGAGGCAGGAGGATCGCTCAAGCCCAGCAGTTTGAGGTTGCAGTGAGCTATGATGATGCCACCACACTCTGGCCCGGATGACAGAGTGAGACACTGTTTCCAAAAAAGAAACACAAATGAGCAGCAAAGTGGAGTGCAAAGAAGGAAAGTGACTTGCCTAGGGTTACAAAATGAGGAAACCAAACACAGGGCATGTACTGAGAGAAAGCCCCATGAGCCAGACATAATTTGTCAAGCAGTACTTGGAAGGATAGATCTACTAAAGTCCAAGTAACCCAGGGAAATGACAGAGAAAGCATTCAAGGGAGAAGTAGGGACTGCACTGGCCTTTCCTCATTAAGACGGGCTTTTGAAACAAACAGGACAGTGGAATGAAAGCCACTGGAGCCCCCAGAGGTCCCTTATACCAGCAATGGCCACCCTCCCTTATCACTATCATAGCTTTTTTAGAAACAGGCCTCTCCTCAGTCCCTTGTACCATAGTGTGAGTATCACAGTCAGCAAGGACCTCAGATCTTGAGGTCCAGGTGTTCCCAACTGTGCTGTACACCAGGTAAATTCCATGTCTTTACTTCACTCCAACTGAATCAGAATCTCTGAAGGTGAGGCCCAGGAATCCATGATTTTTTTTTTTTTTTGAGATGGAGTCTCGCTCTGTTGCCCCAGTTAGAGTGCTGTGGCACCATTAAGCTCACTGCAGCCTCAAACTCCTGGGTTCAACTGATCCTCCTGCCTCAGCCTCCTGAGTAGCTGGGATCACAGTCATCCACCACCACACCTGGCCAGAATCCATGATTTTAAAAATTCTCCCAAATAATTCTGACACAGCAGGAGAACAGACCGGGGTTGGCAACCACTTAGGACGTGCAACTTCCTCACATGACAGATAAACGAAGCCAGAAAAGGGGAGAGTTGCCAAAAGTAACTCAGTGAGTTGGGGTTGGGCCCTGTCTGGAAGCCAGGCCTCCTGATTCTGGCTCCACCACACCAACCTGCCTCACCTCTACCTGGCCAGGGCCCCTCCCCACCACCTGGAACCAGTTACCTCTGTAGGCCAATAAGCTTCCACTTCTGAAAATCCATAATGTGCAATGGGGGGGAGGCCCAGTGCTTCACAGGCTTGGTGTAGCAGCCGTAGTTGGGGACAAAGATGGACAGCGCCGTCACAAGCTTCCTGACTATGGCCTCATCTTCTCCCAGAACCACAAGTGTCCTCCCGCTGAGCAGGGAGTAGATGGCTGGGTGGGCAAAGGGGTACTGGCGGATGAATCTTAAGGCGTTCTGGCCAGCCCTCTTTTTATGCCTTTCAGAAGACAGGGCAGCAGGATGGGCAGAGGAGGGGATCCTGTCCGAGCTGGTGGAGGCTATGCTGCTCATGTGGCTGGTGGTGTCTGAGTAGTTGTCCAGGCTACTCTTGCTGACATCCCGGCTAGCCAGCAGATGGCTTGGGTCCAGTTCATAAGCAGGGAACCCTTCGCAACTGTTGTCTTGGGAAGAAGGGTTGGTGTTTCCCACCGAAAAGTCCACACGGAACCCCTGGTCCTTCTGCCTGTGGCGCTGTGGGGGGATGCTCACCACTCCATCCTCATCGGAGAGTGTGTGGGCTGGAGTAGAGAGAGGCACCAGCTGACCATCACTCTCCTTCCCAATACAGCAGGAGGAGTCTATTTGTGATGGGGTGTTTTCTGAGCTGCCTTCCTCTGCCTCACCCAGCTCTGGAGGACTGATGTTTGCCCGGAAGTGGATGGCCCCCTCATTATCATCTGCATATGATTCTTCATTAATGGCATATGATTCTTCATTAATGGCACTTGGGTAGCTGGCCTTAAAGTCATCAGGGATGAGGGCCTCCGAGGGGCAGGTGCTGAGGACTTCAATACTGTCCTCGCTGATGGTCCTGTGGCTGACTGCTTTGCTCCGGACTACCTGAGGACTCAATGGTACTGTGAGGCTGGCCTGGCTGTCGGACTTGGACAGCACAGAGGTGGATTTCTCCGTGCCCAGAACCTCGATGCTTTCACCACTGCTGATACTCCCTTTCATATCCATATCCAGATAGTCCAAGTTTTCCTGGGGGTCAAAACTGCTCAATTCTGTCACTTCCACTTCCTTGTACTCCTCATCCCCAAGTTCCTGCTCCATTTTAATCAGCACAGACTCCACACTGGACTTGTAAGAACCAACACTAATTAACACTTTAGGAATTGGGCATTCTTCCGGAGACATGGAAGGTGGCCTGTCTTGACTGGGCTTAGAGGGTATGCTCTCTTGTTTCTCCACCATCCTGTCATCAACCTCCACAAAGTCTTCAAAGAGGAAGTTTGTAATGTGCTGTTGTTTTAGAAGTGCTCTGTCAATCTGACTGGTCAGGAGGTAGCACAGGTCTCCTCTGAACATGTGCTCAATGTGGCTGAGCTGAGCCAGGGTCTGGGTGAAATACTCGGTGTCACAGAGCTCCTCCAAGGTCTTCAACTTCTTGTCAAAACACTTGGTGGACTTTGCTTTGATGAGTTTTGGGGTGTAGGCTGGTCTGCAGGTGTAAAGATCTGTGTTAGCAGACTCATCAGGGTTAGAGGTAGTGGATGCCTGGTCAGCCTGATCCTGGGTGTGCACCACCTCACCAGAACACAAATCAGACCCCTTCAACTTCCGATTAGGGTATGAGCGGATCTGCTTCAGCAGGTCTTGATGTTCAATAATGGACTTCTCCACACTGGCCAGTTCATTGGCTTTCTCAATTGCCTGAGATGAGTAAAAGCCTTTGTCATTGGCTTTCTTCTGGATCTCTGTTTCTGTGTGCAGCACTGTCCTGGTGTAATCCAGGTCTTTCAGCTTTTTTTCAAGTTCCCCAGCAAATGCCTTCCTGTTGCCAGTCTTCAAGCACTCAGAAGCTTTGGAAAATTCACCCGAAAGCTCCTGAAACTGCTGCATGATTTTATGCTGGTCCGCGGAGATATAAGCCATGCAAAAGGGCCTCACGAAGCCACGGGCCTCCAGGTCGTACAGAGTAAGGTGGTGCACGTATGCAAAGGCTCCCTCCTTGGAGTCTCCCAGCACCACCTTGGAGTCCTCCACAAAGTTCAGCTTGGGGTATGCAGAACCAGGAGGATGGCCCACGAAGGAAGCCTGGTAATCCACAGACATGATACGCAAAGAGAAGTAATTGAGATCAAAAGTGCCAAAAACTTTGGTGTCATTGGGGATGGTCAGTAAGGGTTGGGGTCCCACCTGCTCGGAGAATTCGGAAATAAGAATGAAGTCCCTGGAGAACTTGGCCCCAGACAGTTTGGACCATGGGTTGGCACCCTGGCTGGCAAAGGGAAAGAGCGGCACGGAGTACTCCTCGGGCAGGGCCGGCTCATTGTAAGGCTCTTCCTCGTACTCGTCCTCTTTGGTGAAGGCCACTACGTCAGGGGCGCTGATCATATTTCCAGATATATGGAGAAAACATTGAGAAGAAGTGGGAAAGAAGACGTGGTTAACAGACGCGGGGAAGCCAGGCCTCTGGAGAAGGAAGCGAAGTCCCTGCGGCCCTATCCGCGCCCCCCGAGGTCTTAGGCTGCTTCTCACACACCCGAGGACTCGAACTCCCGCAGCCCCCTCAGAAGTGTAGCTCCTCCGGAGGTCTCATGAACTCCAAAGCCGAAGTCCCATAAGACCCGGGTGGCTGGCTGCTCTCCTTCCTCCACTTCCTCGGGCAAGCGCGGAGGCACAAGGAACCTGCAGCGAGGTCACTTGCACTTCCCCAAACCCACAGCGAAAGCAACAGCCCCCGCCCTGAGCCGGTATCTAAAGCGAAGCTACGGGCCGCCGCAGGGGTCAGCTAAGCGTTGCCGCCCCCACGGCCCCAAGGGCAGAAACCGTCGCGGATCCTAGGACGCCACAACCTGGAGCCAGCTACCGCGGCGCCGCCATCTTGGCATCACATGACTCCTGGTATCTTTGCCGCGTGACCCGGAAGCGTCCGCGCAGACTTCCGAGCGGGAGAGGAGCAAGACTGTGAAAAAGAAACCACCAAGGACTGGACTGTTCGGCGGCCCCTCCCAGGGACCAGTCCGAATAACCAATCACTTTCGGGAAGGAAGGAAAAGTGGGCGGGGAGGAAAAAAGGGGACAAGGTTTCCGGGGGCGCGGGGCAGTCTGGGAGTTGTAGTTCGCGGTCTCTGTAGAGCGCGCGCCTGGCGGAAGTGGCCCGAGAAGGCGGACGGAAGCCGGACGCTAAGCTGCGGGTTTGGGTAAGAGCCCACGGCGTGGGCCTAGAGAAAGGCGTGGTGGTTAGAGCTCCGAAGCCCAGTGGGCTGGGTCGGAGGTAACTGGAGCGCCGGCAGCTCCCGGAGGCTCTAGTTCTTTTACGGTGGGCGCCCGGCGGGCCTCGCCGGTGGCTTCCCCAGCATGCACAGGCACCGGGGGAGCGGCTGCTGGCGCGGGGCCTCGGAATGACCCTCCTGGTCGCCCGCTACGCGCTCCGGTGGCAGGGACCGCCCGGAGGCCGTGCCTTGTCCCGCGCCGTCATGGAGGTGGCCTTCCGAGGCGTGCGGAAAGTCCTCTGTGTGGCCGAGAAAAACGACGCGGCCAAGGGGATCGCCGACCTGCTGTCTAGCGGTCGCATGAGGCGGGTAAGAAAGCTCGTTTCTGGTCAGCTGCTCTCCTTGAGGGAGGCCCACCGTGCGGGACAGTGTGGTGGGCACCCAGAATCGGAATGAAAGCGATTTCTCTCATTTCTGAGACCTCACCGCCTTTTGCCTGGACTCCTGCAGTGGCCTCTTGTCTGCCTTCCCAAGCCCCAGGCTGTCCTCGGACTGACTGGCATTTTAAAATGTAGTTCAGACGTTTCACTCATTTGCTTGAACACCTTTTGTTTTCCTTGCCTACAGCAGCGTTTCCAAACTTGTCTGATCCTTGGAACTACACTGGCTATTCTTTGGGTCGTGGGTGAGACTGGGAAAGTCTGTATTTTAACATTCTTCCCTCGCGATTCTGAAATTCAGTTCAGTTGGGAACCACTGACGAGATTCCCTTAACCTGGGGTTTAAGCTTTGACCCATCGTCCCTTAGCTAACCTAGCTCTCCCCATCCTGGGCCGCAGCCCCTGCATTCTGCACCCGTGTGACTTTACAGTCTCAAAGTGAACGCTGACAGGGCAACACTGCAAGGTTTGGGGATTAGAGGTGAAGTCAGCCCTGTTCCCACCCCTGTGAGCTGATTCTGAGAGGCGCAAGGGATAAGAATGTGTTCTACCCACATTGAAGGCACAAATGAAAAGGAAGATTAAAAAGTTTCGTAACTGGAGGTGACACGGGGGACATTAAAAGCTATTCAGGAAAATCAAATAACCAAAATGGATCCTGATGGTTTTTGGGAGAACATTTTTAAGAGCTTGGGTGGAAGATCTCTGCTCCCTTTTCTTTACAGATCCCAGGATCCTTAGACCTTTTTCCAGTTTAGGGACAGTGGGAGCCGGAGCCAGGGTTGTGTGAATGCTGGCTGAGAGCTTCACCTCTTTCCAGTACAAAAAGTTCTGGTGAGCAGCCCCGAGGTTTGCCTTACTTGAAGGGGTTCTAGGCCTCTTGAGACCTACCCCTGTTTATCCTTCAGGGCTCTCCTGAAATGTCAACATTTCTCTTTCTCTCTCTCTCTCTCTCTCTCCCCCTCCCTCCCTCTCTCTCTCCCTCCAGTCCAGAGGTCTTTCTTAGAATGCTTAGTGTGCACATTAATTTTCTTGGCAAGAATCTTACCTTTAACTTGTTTGTTTACAACAATGCTAACAGCATGCTGTGTAACATTGTAGACTTTTCCGGTTTTGCCATGGTAAGATTTGTGGGGCATTTCTTTCCTTCACTTCCTTTCCCTTTTTTCTTTTTCCTTTCCCCTTCCCCCTTCCCCCTTCTCTTCCTTTCCCTTCCCTTCCCTTACTCCTTCCCTTTCGCCTTCCCCTCCTCTTTTCCTTCCCTTCCCTTCCCACTTCTCTTCCCCTCATTCTGCAGCCCAAGCTGGAGTGCCATGGCATGATCATAGCTCACTACAACCTCAAACTCCTGGCTTCAGGGGATCCCTGCCTCAGCCTCCAGAGTGGCTGGGACTGTAGGTGCACGCCACCAGGGGGCATTGCTTTTTGAACAGCACCCATTGATGTCTGCAATATCACCTGTCTTGTAGATTCTCATGCATGTGGCCAAAGGAACAACTCCATGTTTTCTAAAAGGCGTAGAGGTGCCTCTCCTCTTTCACTTTGTGTTTGTCATTTGGCAAATTACTGGAAGATTCTGGCCAAAAGGGAAGGCTTTTTTTTTTAACAAGAAGTTTTATTGTTTTTACATACAGAAAACTCAACATTTAACCCATTTAGTGGCAAGTTCTTTAGCCTTTGCCTTTTTTAGTTTGGTAATGTGAGCAACAGATTTTGGACCCAAGACATTGCCTCCCCAGTGACGGCAGATCTCATCATATCTGTCCTTCTAATTGCTCCTGATAGCTTCCACTGGCTTACTCAGAGCTCCCTTGTCTTCCAAGTTAACCTGTATGAAGACTACAGTAGTGCAGGTCTTCCTGTGGACTAGATGTCCCAGTCTTGCCTTCCCCTTTACAATGAAGTAGGGAACCTCTATCCTTCAACACTGGGCTTACAGGAAGACAGCCAGCTCTGTGGGATCCATGTCATGTTCAATCACCACCAACTGAGCCTTGTTCTCTGCCAATGTGGTAATAGTATTAACCCCCACTTGAAGGACAGGTGGTCTCTTAGTGCGGACATCCTCTTTGCCAGCAGCTTCTTAGGCCAATAGTCTTTGCCTCTTGCTTTGTCTCTTGGGTGCACTTGTGGTCCAGCTCAAGCACTTGAGTAGCTATTTGGCAGTCCTGGGTGAACTGGTTAATCACAGGAGACACTTTGAGCCACTTATAGACAGTAGCTTTTTGCCGCTGTAACTGGTTGTAGTGGGGCTATTTGACAAAGCGGATGAGGTCCCTTTTGTGCTGGATGTCCTGTCCAGTGCCAAAATTCTTAGGCCTTTTCTCAAATGGGATTTATCACCTTGCCCTTCTACTGTTTCATGACAACAGGAGCCGGGCCACCTTCTTCCCCTTGGGCTTCTTTCCTTTTGGCATCTTGGGCAGCTGAAGGAGAGACGTTGCTTAAATGTCTCTCCAAGGAACCTTTCCCTCACCACCATCCCTCACTGTGGGACCATTAATGACATGCTGTCAATGCACTCCATTCTCCTACTTGAAATGCATCTACCTGTTACAGTTAAATTATGTAATGTGCAATTATTTAGTTGATCTATCACCGCCCCTCTGTGGACTTTCAAGCTCCAAAGGACAGGGACTAATATAGTGTCTGAAATACAGATTTCTCAGCAAATATTTGTTGGATGAATGTTTGAGCTGAGTTTAAAAGTATTACTAAGCAGTGGATACAGTGTAAAGAACAACCCAGGGGCTTGAAACACCTTGGCATGTTCAGAAATAATTAGACGTTAGGAGTGGCATGTGGTTGGAAGAAAAACCAGTGAGTTAAGCAAGAGAAGCAGTTGAATGCAGACCATGAAGGTATTAAAGAGCCATGTAGATTGTGTGTGTAGGTGGTTGAGTGTGGTAAAATGCACATAAAATTTACCATTTAAATCATTTTCAAGTATATGATTCAGTGGCATTTAGTACTTTCACAGCGTTGTGCAACCATCATCACTGCCTAGTTCCAGAAGATTTTTGTGACCCCAAAAGGAAACCTCATGTCCATGAAGCAGTCACTTCCCCTTACATCCTCCTCCCAGCCCCTGGCAACCAGGTAATCTAACTTTCTGTCCCCATGGATTTGCCTATTCTGGATATTTCTTATAAATGGAACCATACAATACATGGTCTTTTGTGCCAGGGTTCTTTCACGTACCATAATGTTCAAGTCCATCGATGTTGCGGCATGTATTGGTTCTTCATTCTTTTTTATGGCTGAATAGTACTCCGTTGTATGGACAGATCAGATTTAATTTTACCATCCATCAGTTGATCAACATTTGTGTTTCCACCTTTTGGCTCTTATGAATAGAGCTGCTATAGACAACTCATGAATTAAGTTTTTGTTTGAATAACTGTTTTCAATTCTTTTGGGTAAATTATACAGAGTGGAATTGATACGACATGTAACTTTGTTTAACTTTTTGGGGAACCACCAAACTGTTTTCCACAGTGGCCAAAGCATTTTACATTTCCTCAGTGTTCTAATTTTTCCACATCTAAATTTTGTACATCCTCAACAACACTTATCTTCCTTTTTTTGTTTTAATTACATGCTAGTAGGTTGTGCAGTGGTATCTCATTGTGGTTTTGATTTACATTTTCCTAGTGACTGAAGAAATTGGACATCTTTTCAGTGCTTGTTGGCCATTTGTTTATTTTCTTTGAAGAAATGTTGCTTATACTTGGATATGATGTGATATCCAAGAAATCATTGCCAAATCCAAGATCAGAAAGATTTCCTCCTATATTTTCTTCCAAGAATTCTATAGTTTCAGCTCTTATATTTAGGTCTTTGATCCATTTCGAGTTAATTTTTATATATAGTGTGAGGTAAGGGTCCAAATTCATTCTTTTGCATATGCATATCCAGTTGTCCCAGCACCATTTGTTGAAAAGACTATGCTTTGGATGCCCATTGGATGGATGTGGCACCTGTAAAGTCCCAGCTACTCAGAAGGCTGAGGCAGGAAGATCCTTTGAGCCTAGGAGTTTGAGGCTGTATTGTGCTGTGATAACACCTGTGAATAACCACAATACTCAAACCTGGGCAACATAGTGAGACCTCATCTCTCAAAAAAGAAAATCAATTGACCATTGATGTTTAGGTTTATTTCTGGACTCTCAGTTTTATTCCATCGTTATATATGTCTATCCTTATACCAGTACCACACAGTTTTGATTACTGTAGCTTTGCAGTAAGTTTTGAGCGCCCGACTTCAGCCTCCTGAGTAGCTGGAATGACAGGCATGGGCCATCACGCCTGGCTACACACAGAAAAATTGTCTTTTTGAGACTGAGAGAGAATCTTCTAATACTGGTCTTTCTTGGCCCTTGAACGTTTCCCCAGTTCCCAGTCGGCCTTTCTCTTGTTTTGCGTTCAGTGTTCGGCTCTTCATAGGCCTAACTGCTTTTAATGTGTTTGTGGAAGAAGGTGGGATCTACTCAGAGAAGGTCTTGATGGTCTGTAATTGCAGCTGAAGAAGCGCTTTATAGATTGGATTCCAGTTCTGACCAGGGCTTTATAGTGTCGTTAGATTTTGGAACCAGACGGACCTCAGTGATAGCTTCGTTCCGGAAAAAATTGAGGCTTAGAAAGCTGAATGACTTGCCCGTGATCGCCAGTTTATTGGTGTAATTGTATGGCCAGGAAACAGCAGAGATGTATGTGAAGGAAGGAGAAAATCATCAAGAGACCTGTCTTAATCCCTTCTCTGCCATTGAGTTGTCACATGACCTTGGAAAAGTCCAGACTCATCTATATAAAATGTTAATATTAACTGATCTCAGGGTTACCTTTCAGTATAAAAACTCAGTAGATTCTATCAAGTGTATGCTTGGTAACTATTTCTGAGGGGCTATTTAAGTGGTCTTAATAATTTAGCCTAGTTTTTAATCTACAGGAAATATATTTTGCACTTTTAATATTCTCACTTTTCAGGGTTTTGCTTGATCTTTATGCTGAGGAGTTATTTGTTTTACTAACATAGTTTATATTTTTTAATTATTTTTGTTTTGTTTTATAGAGAGAAGGACTTTCTAAATTCAACAAGATCTATGAATTTGATTATCATCTATATGGCCAGGTAGGTGTTAAAATATTTCCATCATAAAGCTGAAGTGTGCTTTCAGATCCATGTGCCATTTTAGTGTACATCCCTTGGGGTTTCAGCTATAGCTAAAAAGAGCAATTATTTACTATACATCCTCCTTAAATTTCTTGTATTTTAGAGTTCTTTAATCAAGAAGTAGCCTGGATGTATGTAGAATATGTCACTGTCTTAAGAATAACTATTGCTGTGACCTAAAGGTCTTTGGTTATAGGTGATCATTCTATAATTTATAAGGAAATTTAATAAAATATAATCAGATTTCCTCTTTTTAATAAAATATGGTCTCATCTCAGCTCTTTATAATAAACAAGCTAATATGTAGTAGTTTGAGGAAATTTTAAATGATACAGAAGACATCATGGTACTAGAATTAAACTAGTGATAATCTTACATCATAGGTGTTAAAAAAAAAGTGGTGATTATATTCCGTGGCTTTTGGCTTGGAAGAGTTTTTTGGATTTTTATTTTGGGGTTTTTGTTTGGTTGGTTTCATTTAGTTTGGGTTTTTTTTTTTTTTTTTGAGACAGAGTCTCACTCTATTGCCCCAGCTAGAGTGCAGTGGCATCATCACAGCTCACTGTAGCCTCAAACTACTGGGCTCAGGTAGTTCTCCTGCCTCAGCCTCCTGAGTAGCTAGGACTATAGGCACGTGCCACTACACCTGACTAATTTTTTCTATTTTTTGGTAGAGACAGGGTCTCACTCTTGCTCAGGCTGGTCTCGAACTCCTGGTCTCAAGCAATCCTCCTGCCTCTCAGTGCTAGGATTACAGGCATGAGCTGCCGTACCTGACCTAAAGAGCTATATTTATGTTTCTTCCCAATCAGCTAAGGTTTTTTTTTCCCCCTTTAATAGAAATTCCTCCCTTTCGTTTGAATGATTTGGCAAAATATAACTGCAGAAAGACTAACTTGAGTTTTGTCATCATTCAGAATGTTACCATGATAATGACTTCGGTTTCTGGACATTTGTTGGCTCATGATTTCCGGATGCAGTTTCGAAAATGGTCAGTACAATTCCTGGGGGAAGGACTTTCAGATTATTACAGTAAGTTTTGAAATATTACAGGACTTTTGAGGCATGTCGATCTTACTGTGTAATTTATAGTACTAAGATGACCTAGAATCATCTGATTCATTGTGAATTTTTATCAGACCTTTAGAATAAATAGCTACTTTTAAGTGTTCTCCCAAAATAGCAGACCTTTTTCATGCAGTCATCAGATTGCATTTATCCAAGTGCAGATGCCCATGAAAGGTGCCCATGACATTCAGAATGTCTTAGCAGCTCCTGTTGATCCTCCTGGCGAAGTAGATAGTGCGCTTTGCAGAGGGCTGTAGCCTTGCTTTCAGTCTGCTGGGACTGCTCCTGTTTGGGGATCCACCCATGAGCCCCTGGAGCAGTTCATTGTCATTAGAATGGAGGGTTCTCCATCACGTGCTGAGGTAAGACTGTGTTTTTTTCTTTTCTAGGCAGAGCTGCAACCCCCTTGTCCTCTTTGAAGCAGAAATTGAAAAGTACTGCCCAGAGAATTTTGTAGACATCAAGGTGGGGTCTTTTGAAGACATTTGGCACTAAAGTTGGAACAACCATAGAGAATCAAACTGACTGATTTCTGTATTTTTAATGCATCGGAATTTGGAGATAATGTTTTCCGCCAAACTTAGTACCATGATTTAAAAAGTTAACTCCTACCCATTGTATAAATAAGGCTGTTTAAGCGTAGTGGCCAAGGGACTAAAGTAAGCCCTTTTTATGAATAGTAGTAGTTTATATTCTAGGAATAAGTATGGTTAAATTATTGATTCTAGCCATCATCCCACCTCTAGTTAGAACAGAAGAGGCTGCAAAATGTAAATGGTTGTTTGACAGTAGATTGCCGGTTGTCAAGCAGTCAGGGCACCTACAGTTACGATAATTCACTACTAACTGGGAAACCTTCTTGGGATGAAACTCAGTTGGTGTTTATTTTTTATTTTTTATTTTCTTTTGAGACAGAGTCTCACTCCATTGCCTGGACTAGAGTGCTGTGGCGTCAGCTTAGCTCACAGCAACCTCAAACTCCTGGGCTCAAGCAATCCTGCCTCAGCCTCCCAAGTAGCTGGGACTATAGGCACACGCCACCATGCCCGGCTAATTTTTTCTGTATATTGTTTTTAGCTGTCCAATTAATTTCTTTCTATTTTTAGTAGAGATGAGGTCTCGCTCTTGCTCAGGCTGGTCTCGAACTCCTGAGCTCAAACAAACCGCCCACCTCGGCCTCCCAGAGAGCTAGGAATACAGGCATGAGCCACCGCGCCCGGCCAGTTGGTGTTTATTTTTTAACCAGGACATAATCAGAATCACCTAAGTCATAAGTGTGAGAGCTGAGTTTTACGTTTTGTCATATAGATGAAGTTGTATTAAACCCTGTATCTTCCCTCCATCTTCTAGAAGCTCATTTGTGGGTATGGAGGGTTGTACTACTGACCTCGCCATTATTAGCACTAGTAAAAGCAGGCTTCTTTGATCTCTTTCCCTCGCCAAGATGGTGTACTCCAAGAACAGCATTGCTCTTTAGTCAGGTCCCTTAGGTGTTGAGGTGTAAAGTCATTGCTCTGCGATTCTGTTCTCACTGCTCTTTCCCCACTGTGAACTTCAGAAAACTCTGGAACGAGAGACACGGCAGTGCCAGGCTCTGGTGATCTGGACTGACTGTGATAGAGAAGGTGAAAACATCGGATTTGAGATCATCCACGTGTGCAAGGCTGGTACGTGCTGCTGCTGTGTCTCCACTTTGGAGCCCTGAAAATAGCGTTCTCCGGTGTCTGCGTATACGTGGCCGTGGCTGAGTTCCTCTGCAGATACTCTTCCTCCTCAGGCAAATCACTGAACCTTTGGGAGGCTTGACTTCCTCCTGTGGGGCAATCTGTTTCCTAGAGCTGCCATGGGAATTAAATGAGTTACTGATAGTGTAGACCATTTAGCCCAGGGCTTATTCCTTGTTAGGTACAAGGAGATCCCCAGCTTCTTAAGAACAGGTACCTTATAGTCTATTTTTTAAAATTAGATATTGAATATATGCAGAAGAATGGATGTATCATAAGTAAAGTACAAAGAATAATTCTAAAATGTTCTATTTGTTTTCTTAATCTCCCATATTCATTGTACAACGACTGTTAATACTAATATATAATTGTTAAAGTGGATGTGAATGGCTCAGACAGATTTAATGATTTCATGTAACTTAGAGGAAGTGATGAACAGGCCATTCTCTGGCTCAGAGGGTGGGGTTCCTACTTTCCCTAAGAGGTTTTGTGTTGAATGCTGTGATGACTCCTGGAAATTTAAATGCATTAACTTTCGAAGATGCTGTATATGCCTTTATTCTTTCCGCAAGGGACATGAAATTTTCCCACAAGACTCTTTAATTAACAGAGTTTTTGTTTTCCCTAAAGGCCTGAGAGAGTGGTAAGGTTGAAGTCTCAAAAGGTCCACCAAGTGAATGGTAGTTAATCGCTCAAATTCACTCCGCAGTTATTTCTGACATCAGTTTGAAGGTCATGTGATGTTTCCCTCTTAGACGTTGTATACCATTGATTTAACATACAGGTAAATCAGGCACAGCACAGCTTCTTGAACTGGTTTGCCTTCATTTCAAGGTAGTTTAAGAAAAGTGAGCCCCTTATGATGGAGGGCAGTGTGATCTGACTTTGACCTCGGTGCCACCTTGTGTTCCATAGTGAAGCCCAGTCTGCCGGTGTTGCGAGCCCGTTTCTCTGAGATCACACCCCGTGCCATCAGGATGGCCTGTGAAAACCTGGCCGAGCCTGATCAGAGAGTGAGCGACGCTGTGGATGTGAGGCAGGAGCTGGATCTGAGAATAGGTGAGGAGCAGACAGATCCTCCCACTGCCACGGGGAACACTGATGTTTGGTTGTGGAACCAAAAATGAGGTTCTGTGTAAATGTACGCAGCCAGCTCTGACCTCGGCATCCACTGTTCTCTTGTTCCTTCCTCCCTTCTCCCTCCCTCCCTCCTTTCCTCTCTTCCTCCCTTCCTTCCTCTCTTCCTCTCTTCCTCTCTCCTCACTCTCCAGGAGCTGCCTTCACCAGGTTCCAGACGCTGCGGCTTCAGAGGATTTTCCCTGAGGTGCTGGCAGAGCAGCTCATCAGTTATGGCAGCTGCCAGTTCCCCACACTGGGCTTCGTGGTGGAGAGGTTCAAAGCCATCCAGGCTTTCGTGCCAGAGGTCTTCCACAGGATTAAAGGTAAGGCTGAGGGTTGTGTATGCATGGGCCCAGGAATAACAAGGGACTGGGGAGCATTAATAGTGCTAATTAAAGGTGTGATTTAAAAAAAAAAAAATCTTGCTGCCCTTCTCTCTGCCCCATTACAATATTCAGAATCTACCTAATGTTTCTTTTGTCATCTAGAAACTCTTCCCTGTTTCATATTCCTTTGGCTTTCAGTGTAAAATACCTTTTCTATTTGTCATATCACGTGACTTCTCTGAGACACAGCCTTTCTGTTTGTCTCTCCCCAATACAGTAACTCATGACCACAAAGATGGCATCGTAGAATTCAACTGGAAAAGGCATCGACTCTTCAACCACACAGCTTGTCTTGTCCTCTATCAGTTGTGTATGGAGGTAAGAACTGCTCTGAAATCCTAATGATCTAGGAAACATTCTGCACACCTCCCAGGCCACTCTGTCTCCGTTCCAGTCTCCCACTGAACTTGAGCTTTAAGTTTGCAGAAAACAGCACTAAAAATGTGGAAGGGAAGGGTCTGTAGAACTTTTAGATAAAATCAGAAATTTTGAGAACTTGTAGCTGAAATCCCTCTCTGGGGCATATACTGTCACCAGAGATTAACAAGGATCAGCTAGACAGTCCAGATCATACATTCCTAGGGAATCTCTGTGAAGCAATTTGGACAGCCTCTGTCCCCTCTTGGTCACATAAGGAAGTCTAGAGAAATGAAAGTTACAAATGAATGAGTTAATTTCATATAGCAATTAAGGCCAGGAAGAAAATTAAGCGGGGAAAAGGGATAGAGAGAGGCCTGGGGGACAGGGAAGGGGCTGTTCTGGATATGGTCAGGAAAGACCTCGCAGAGGGGTGACATTTGAGCAGGGGTTGGAGTGAGGCAGCCAGGGGAGGAATGGGGGGAAGCTGTGTCTCAGAACAACACGTGCAAAGGCGCGCCACAGGCCGGTCATTGGCAGTGGAGACTCTGCCTTCACATTTCCTGACCCTTGGACTGGTCATCCATTTTGCGATGCCACTTCCTATCAGTCAGTACATAGCCTGGTTTTTCCCAGGGCCTACACACAGTGGTGCCTAAGGAGAATCCTGAGATGTCTAGGTTTGATAATTCGTGGGTGCTTCTTGGCTATAGCCCACTGGCAGGATTGTTATTAATTAATTTCATAGGGGAGTGAGAACTGCAAAGCATGTGATATGTGCCAGGCATACTTTGTCTCATATTATTTTGTTTAATTCTAATAATACCCGTGAGGGTGGTGATGCCATCCCCATTTTACAGATGAGGGACCTAGACAAAGTGCAGTGACTCATCCACGCACACACGCAAGAGAGCGAGTATACAGCAGAGCACGGCCTGGATCCCAGCATGTCCCTGCCCGTTCTGCACACTGCTGCCCCTTCCTGTCACCCACTCTACCCTTTGACCCTGGACCACCAGGTGTCTGTGTTACTGCATGTTTATCTGTTAAATAAGAAGACCTGTGGTGTTTCTCCTTCACTGGGATGTGGTGTGGGAATATGTGGCAGGGGATATGCTTAGAGCTTATGAGCAGCTGGTCCTCAAGTCTTCCAGGAAGGAGAAATTTGGATTTCGATAGACAAATATCCTCATTAGCAAACTACTTAAACTGAGTTCTTTGTTCATCTACAGGCTCTTAAAAGTGTGAAGTTGCTTTTAAGATTATAGTTCTCCAGCTTGTATTGTACAATTTCTCCTATTTCTAACTCTGTATTATCCTGAATTTAAAAAAAATAACACTGTACATGTGTGCATAGGAAACTACTCAGGAGATGCATAGGCTGTTTGTTGTATTTCATAGGCTCTTTAAGGCTTGTGAAATTGCCCTTCAGAATCTTGGTTTGAGTGGGAAGGAGACAATGATGTCCACTACACCGTCAGGTATAAGCACCATTAAGTAGGTAGCTCTCCGGGGCTGTCACTGGCCTAAGCCAGTGGTCAGTATGGTCTGGAGTGGTGAGCAGGTGCAGCCCAGGGGAAGGCTGGAAGTTCATGCTGTCTTTGCTTTCCTGACCTCCTAGGATCCTGTGGCAACCGTGGTGGAGGTCAGATCTAAGCCTAAGAGCAAGTGGCGGCCTCAAGCTTTGGACACTGTGGTATGTTCCAGACTGTTTCAGGCACTGAGGAACAATTACTTCCCATTGTTGGGCTGTAGTTCTACTGCACGGACTATGATACAGTGGAAGGAAACATCACCTATCACCGTGCCACATAGCAGAGCACTTGGGAAAGATAAGGCTTGCTTGGCCTCTTAATGCTTTTTTTTTTTTTTAATTTATCAAGTGCAATATAACTGCTTTGTGTGAGGTTTGGGAAACAAAAAGAGGAAGACAAATGACCGTCCTTACATAATTGTTGGTATAATTTTGGTGTCTTACTGGGTTTTTTTTTTTCGCATTCATATTTTTTACAGCATTATAATTTATAATTAGAGTAGCTTATTTTTTGCACCCAAGCATTTTTTTTCATGTTGCTGCATAATCTGTGTGTTATTTTAAATAATATGCTATATCAACTGATCTTGGAACAGGGCTTCTCAAATTTTTGGCCCCAGGAAGAGCTACCCCCATGGGACACAAGTCTGAGTAAATCACATTAGGAGTGTGCCTTCCCACTCACCATTTAGCAAGGACATTCGGGCTAGAATTACTGTCAGGCTTACCTGTGTGACCTGGGCCAAGCCCCTTGACATCTCCAGATCTCTTCTCTACTTCCTCATTTGCCACCAGGAAGCTGGACTGAATGTAAGGTCTGTCGTAAAGCAAGCAGGTTCTTTTTTTTGTTTGTTTTTGTTTTTGAGACCAAGTCTCGCTCTGTCCCCCAGGCTGGAGTGCAGTGGCATCATCGTAGCTCACTGCAACCTCCAACTCCTGGGCTCAAGTGATCCTCCTGCCTCGGCCTCCCAAGTAGCTGGGAATACAGACATGCACCACCACGCCCAGCTAATTTTTTCTGTGTTTAGTAGAGACAGGGTCTCGCTCCTGCTCAGGCTGGTCTTGATCTCCTGACCTCAAGTGATCTTCCCTCCTCAGCCTCCCAGAGTGTTAGGATTATAGGCATGAGCCAGCATGCCCTGCCTCAAGCAGGTTCTAAAGGAAGCAAAGCTTTACCCCGCTGCTCCTTCATCTGGAACAGTCCACTTTGAAGTTGTACATACAGAATGTGCAGGCTAAAAAATGTGCATGGGCTGCTAGGCAGTGCATTCCTTGTCTCAGACAGGCCAGGGTAAACGTGTGTATGTGTTGAAGGATTCCCAGGGGAAAGTCATGGATTGATTTTATATAGTAGGCATACGTGTTTTATTCCTTTCTGGTTAAATGTGCTTTGACATATAGTCGGCAGCGTTGTTGGAGTGGTGCCTAGGGAAAAGAACAACTGGTTATCCCCCAGGAAGCCTTAAAGAATGGTTTTCACCATCCAGGGGAGTTTACTGGGGATTGGGTGGGATTCACAAAATCTGATTCTCAGACTACCTGTGTTATTACTGTATGTTAGGCTGCTTGTTAAAAAGTGCAGATTTCAGCCTCTGTCCCAGCCTTGCTCTGCTCTGTCAAGTCCCCAGTGAGCAGGGCCGGGAATCTGCTGGCTTCCCCGATGAGCCTTACACATCAGTCTGAGAACCATTGGGCGGGGAATCTGGCTCTGCTGGCAGGCTCAGAAATCGTTCTCAGACAGCCTTGCCCCCTCTGTGTGACAGAGGAACCTGGCATGACAGGGGCAGGCTTGTCCAAAGATGAGTTGTGTAGCCGGGTCGTGCCCTCTGACTGACACCTAACGTGCCTGTTGACCCATTTCACAGGAGCTTGAGAAGCTGGCTTCTCGCAAGTTGAGAATAAACGCTAAAGAAACCATGAGGATTGCTGAAAAGCTCTACACTCAAGGGTGAGTATTCTTGACAGTAGATTTGGGAGTAGAATTTGAAGCAACTTTATCAGGGTGAAAGATTTTAGAAGTAGAGCTCGTGAGGAAACACAAATTGTCTAAATAACACCCAAGCTCTGACAGAGGATTTTGACATTGACTTGACTTTTCTGATACGAAAAAGGCATTTCAGTATGAGAACCTATAGAGTAAATCCAGATTCTACTCTTGACTCCTCAGCAATCTCCTGGGTGCCCTGGCAAGTGGCAGAGAGCAGGCAGCACCTCTGGGAGTTGTTTGCCTGTGAAAATCATCCCTACCCAGGGGTCACGGGCACCCCAGCAAGGAGGTCCTCTGACTGTGCTGTCCAACATTTGACCGTGAGCACTTGAAGTTTGGGTTGTCCAACTTGGGATGTGCTGTAAATATAAAATATGCACTGGATTTTTGAAGACTTGTATGAAAATAGAATGTAAACTATCTAAAATTTTAAGTGGCTAATTGATGATTTAAAATGACATATAGAGTCTACGTTATAGTTTTAGGGATGGCAATGTTCTTTATGTACTCTAGGAAAAGTTAGAGAAAAACACACTGGTGGAGCTGTTGGGGCTGACGAGACTTCTGTGCTATACCAGGGTCAGACTGACCCCAAGAGAAGCCAGTGACGTGCCCCAGGCCATGAGGCACTGGCAGAGTCCTGGGTCTTGATCCTGTGCCAGGCCGGCCCGTTCCCTTCCCCTTGTGGCTGCTTTTCACCCCATGCGGGGCATCTCAGAACTTTCTTGGTGCAGATAACCTAGGGTGCTTTCAGGTGAGTTGGCTATATGAGATAGGTAATTGCAGGTGTTACCAGGTGCTGTTAGTCACTTAAAAACCAACTAAAGGCCGGGCGTGGTGGCTCACGCCTGTAATCCTAGCTCTCTGGGAGGCCGAGGCGGGCGGATTGTTTGACCTCAGGAGTTCGAAACCAGCCTGAGCAAGAGCGAGACCCCCGTCTCTACTAAAATTAGAAAGAAATTAATTGGACAACTAAAAATATATAGGAAAAAAAAAAATTAGCCGGGCATGGTGGCGCATGCCTGTAGTCCCAGCTACTCGGGAGGCTGAGGCAGGAGGATCGCTTTAGCCCAGGAGTTTGAGGTTGCTGTGAGCTAGGCTGATGCCATGGCACTCTAGCCCGGGCAACACAGTGAGACTCTGTCTCAAAAAAAAAAAAAAAAAAAAACCAACTAAAGAACCTAAAAAGAATTCTTTTTCTGTTTCTTGGCCTTCGTTTTAGGTACATCAGCTATCCCCGGACGGAAACAAACATTTTTCCCAGAGACTTAAACCTGACAGCGTTGGTGGAACAGCAGACCCCAGATCCACACTGGGGAGCCTTTGCCCAGAGCATTCTGGAGCGGGGCGGCCCCACCCCACGCAACGGGAACAAGTCTGACCAAGCTCACCCTCCCATCCATCCCACTAAATATACCAGCAGCCTGCAGGTTGGTTTCTTTGAATGTGTTGCCTGCTAGGACCCAGAGCAAGGTGCTAAGGGCCAGTAGTAGGATTCGAGTTTACCCTGCAGGCTCTGATGATAGGAAATGAGTGGTCTTGGAATATCTCTTTCATTTCAGAAAAGAGAAGTCAGTGTCAGAATTCTCCTATTTCATAATTTTCCACCTGCCTTTCATGAAAGACCTCCCCCCCATTTTGGGCCCCACCCTTACTCTAGCCCCTTTAGCACAGGACTCCTGCTGCTTCTCTCCTTGTCCCTGACACATAGTCCAGGTTGCCCCCACAACCTTCTCAGCCCCCACCCCACAGCCATTTACAGTCCCTTGTAACTAGAGAATCCTGTCTGTCCTCCCGAGAGGTTCCCTTGCCTTCCCAAGACTTTGCCACCTCCCTCCTGTCATGCTGTAGCCACTGTAGAGTTTCCCACTGGGCTCTGCCTGATTGGCTCAATGGGGACAGGCTCTGCAAGGGCAGGAGTCTTTGAGTATTGCTGACTTCTGCAGGCTGTCACAGAACTGAGCAAATTTTGATCTTTTTTCTTCTTTCTTTAATAACACATTCCTTCTGATCTTAAAATTAGTACATTTTCAAGTAGTGCCTCACGCCTGTAATCCTAGCACTCTGGGAGGCCAAGGCAGGAGGATTGTTTGAGATCAGGAGTTCAAGACCAACCTGAGCAAGAGCAAGACCCTGTCTCTACTAAAAGCAGAAAAAAATTAGCTAGGTGTTGTGGCATGCACCTGTAATCCCAGCTACTTGGAAGGCTGAGGCAGGAGGATTGCTTGAGCCCAGGAATTTGAGGTTGCTGTGAACTATGATATGACACCACTGCACTCTAGGCGGGGGCAATAGAGTGAGACTTTGTCTCAAAAATAAGTAAATTTTAAAAATAAAATTAATACATGGTCATTTTACACAATTTAGAAAATACAAAAGATTATATAAAGAAGGAAAAAATTGCCTATAATTGCCTCTTCTGATAACCACATTTTTTCTATGCGTGTATATAGTCTTTTAATAAAAGTAGAACCTCAGGCCGGGCGCGGTGGCTCACGCCTGTAATCCTAGCTCTCTGGGAGGCCGAGGCGGGCGGATTGTTTGAGCTCAGGAGTTCGAAACCAGCCTGAAATTAGGAAGAAATTAATTGGACAACTAAAAATATATAGAAAAAAATTAGCCGGGCATGGTGGCACATGCCTGTAGTCCCAGCTACTCGGGAGGCTGAGGCAGGAGGATTGCTTGAGCCCAGGAGTTTGAGGTTGCTGTGAGCTAGTATGATGCCACGGCACTCTAGCCCGGGCAACACAGTTGAGACTCTGTCTCAAAAAAAAAAAAAAAGAATGACTTCCCAGTCTGGAGGGGAAAATGGCTCACTTGCTTACCTCTGCCCCATTGGAGTTGTGAGGTGTGTCAGCCTAAACCGATCTGCTCCCTAGGACTTGCCTGGCACTCCACATTAGCGCAGGGCCTAAGGAGCGGTGTCACCTGTTCCGGGCAGAACATTAGGCCGAAAGGTGACATAAACCAGGTTTAAACAAGAGGTGGCATTTTCAAGGAAGTTTCAAATTCTTCTTCTCTTCCTAGGGAGATGAACAGCGACTGTATGAGTTTATCGTTCGCCATTTCCTGGCTTGTTGCTCCCAGGATGCTCAGGGGCAGGAGACCACTGTGGAGATTGACATTGCTCAGGAGCGCTTTGTGGCCAACGGCCTCATGATTCTGGCCCGAAACTATCTGGACGTGTATCCATATGATCGCTGGAGTGACAAGGTGATAAAGAGGTGGACCGCAGGGAGAAGGGAGGACAGTCATGTCCTAGCCTTGAGCCATCTAGTGGCACGAGACTGTATTTCTTGAAATGGAGGTTGTCTTTTGCCTGAGTGTGGCGACAGTGATCTGATTGCATGCATCTACTCCCTGCAGATCCTCCCTGTCTATGAGCAAGGCTCCCGCTTTCAGCCCAGCACCGTGGAGATGGTGGATGGGGAGACCAGCCCGCCCCAGCTGCTCACCGAGGCCGACCTCATCGCCCTCATGGAGAAGCATGGCATTGGTCAGTAGCTCCTACGCGTGACTCGCATCTCTCTATGAGCCAGGCACGCTCTGATGCAGGTGCTATATTCTTATCCCCATTTTTATAGTTGAAGTGAGGCTTAGAGAGGTTAAGAACTTACCTAAGGTCACAAAGTGTGTGTTATTTAAACCTGGTTTTAATATCCACAGTCAGTGCTCTGAAATCCCGTACCATACCGTACACAGAGCGACACATTTCCCGTGACTCAGGGTGCTCAGCTAGGAGCACCCTTTGGGCGCATGGGGATAGAACAGCAAATAAGGTAGCAACAATTAAAACCGTATTGTTATCTTTTGAAGTGTCAGATCGGGCAGCTTGGGCCTCCTTTCCTTGTGGAACAGTGGATGTGGGTGTCAGCCATCCCCACAGGTGTGCACCCACACTACTCACACTCACACTGCTCCCACTGGCCTCACTCACCTGCTTGTACTTGGCAGGACCCTACTGTTAGCCATGGGTTGCTGGATTCTTAGCTTTTTGTTCCCATGATTGCTTAGGAGTCAGAAATTAGGTTTTAAAAAACACTAGACCAGAATTATGTTTTTCCCAATAAGTCCTGTGGCTCAAGCTTTGCAGGTGGGTCATTGTGAGTGATCTGCTGCCCCTCCATCCATTTTCCTTAGTGTTCATAGCACATAGCTTTCAAGGGCTGTCTCTAGCAAAACCCAGTCCAGGAAGGCCAGCCGCGTGATGGAAGAGAAGAGGAGTCCCCTACATGTGTTATGGAAACTGCTTTCTCCATTCAGGCTATACCTGCCTCACCTACAAAGAGAATTTAATAGTCCTATGACTTGGGAAAAGTGCTCCAACCTGGAGTCCCTGACCATCACTGAGATATCCAGAAAGCTTTCAGGTTTAGGTAAAATTAAAGGGAGTTTGCCCATCACGATTTCTTTGATTAAAATGTATGAGGCCTACTAGAATGAGACCTTGGACTAAGCGCCAGGGACTCAAAGAGGAATGAAACCTTGTTTTTCCCTTTAAGGACTCAGTCTAGCAGAAGAACCAAACCAAACCAACACATTGAATACAATGTGATGGGTTCTGCAGGGAGCAGGAAGAAAACATCATGGGTGGGGCATGGTTGGCATTTGAACTGGACCAAAACCTCATAGTAAGACTTCCTGGTCAATGAAGGCAAGCCCAGCACAGGGCAGGGCCTGCAGAAGGGCACAGGAGGAATGCAAAAGCCTGCTGCAGCTGGGGGCAGTAAGGGATGGTCGTAGAAGGTGAGAAAGAAAGGTGGTTCTGGCCTGACTTTGCAGCCTTGCTTACAGGGCTACGGGGCTTGGGTGCCTCCTCATAGTTGGTAGGGAGCCACATAGAAGTACACTTTTAAAAAACCAAACCAGGCCAGGCTCAGTGGCTCATGCCTGTAATCCTAGCACTCTGGGAGGCCGAGGCAGAGGATTACTTGAGCTTAGGAGTTCGAGACCAGCCTGAGCAAGAGTGAGACCCTCCTCTCTACTAAAAATAAAAAAATTAGCTGGGCGTGGTGGTGTGTGCCTGTAGTCTCAGCTACTCAGGAGGCTGAGGCAGGAGGATTACTTGAGCCCAGGAGTTTGAGGTTGCTGTGAGCTAGGCTGATGCCATGGCACTCTAGCCTGGGCAACAGAG